CTAATTGCTTTAACGCGTTGTGTATGCTTGTCTGCCTTAGCACATTATATATATGTTGTATGTCTTAGCATATTTACGTGTTTATGTGGCAATTCGTTTAGAAAATTTTGTTAACCGCCTTAGCATGTTGCATATGCTTAGTTATCTTAGCATCATGTATATGCTTATTTGCCTTGACATGATTGTATGTAACATGTCTATATGCCTTATGTTTTCTTTCGCATATGTTGACATACTATGTGTTTATGTGCTTCTTGATAACATGTTTGATGTCATGACATGTTTACGTGCTTAGGTAACTATATGTTTAGAAGCATTCGTTAATCATTATAGTACGACTTATATGTTTACACATGATAGTATGCTGTACGTTTATTTAGCACTTGTATGCTTACCTGCTCACTTGCTTAAGTATTTTGAAAATATTTTGTTCAAACATACATGCTTGTATGCTTATATGCCTAGGTGTTTAATGTTCCGTTGTATGACTTAACATGATTTAGGTGTCTATATGCTTATGTGCTTAAAATGATTTAGGATTCTTTAATTGCCTTACCATGTTGTTATATTATGCGTGCTATGTTTGTATGCTATTTGTCTAGTATGATTTAAATTTTACGGTACTGAGCATGACATATGAAGTATGCTATATTAGACCTTTATACATTAGTCACCACATGCACTATTTGCCTTGATTTTTGTCTACTTGTTTTATGACAGAACATGTTATGTGAACTATTTAATACTTGTATAAGTATGTTATTTTGTTGTCACGTTGTATGCTATGTGTTTAGTATAAGTATGCACAATTTGATTTAGTACCTTTTGATATAATACTTAGGACCTTAAATTGATATTTGCACAAGCATGTTAATTGATGGTTTTATGCCATTACATGTTATTTGCGTTAAATTTATGACTATGATAAGTGTTGAATATGATTAAGTGTTAAATATTCATGTTAACTTGTGATGGGTTGTGAGCATACTGGTACTACTTGTGTTGTTTATTTTGACTACAAGCCAATTACGATGTGATGGAGCATATTAGTTGTTATGTTTACGCTATGCTATATGATAAGCGTGAATATGTTCAATATGGTGATATTTCCTTTTGATAAAGCACTTAGGATATTAAGAAGCTATTTATATGAGTATCTATTTGTTAGCCTTAACGACCGCATGTTACATGTTTCACGCCTTTTGATGTATGCTAACCGAGCAGTATGATTAAATATTAATGCGTATGTTGACTTGGTGTTAGGTTATGAACATACCAGTTCTTGCTTACCTTAATTATTTTGACTTTTATCTACATGCTATATGAAAGAGCATTGTTATATACCGTCATTCTTACATGTTTATATGCCTTCATTTTGAGCATGCCTTAGAAACATGTTTAGGATATGCGACTATATAACATCTTTCACAATCCCTGGAGAGATGGTTCACTATTGGTTTATGTGATGATAGAAATAATGCATTTTTCACAGGTGGTATCAGAGTATCTCCTGTGCGAATCGTCACAAGAATCATTTAATATTTTTTTCCGACTTTGAAATAATTATTTTACTTTAGAAGGAAAAATAAATTAACGAAGTTGGTTAAAATTTTGGCAGGCTGATTTTTATCCTCTTTTCTCTCCAACCCATACATATGCTCTAGTGAATATACATCCAAATGAGGTTAACCTTAATCATTATTATAACCACGTGGAAAAGAAATGCATTTTATAAGATGTTAGACAGCTAGATCATGCATACATTTACATTAATCATTGATAAATAAACTTGGAAACAAAGTATTAATTTAAGAAAACATAACTTTTATATTAAGTTAAAATATGTAAAAACTCAATAAATCAAGGGCTAATTCCATAAAACTCCTACTACTTTCAAATTTTATTCATAAACCTCCAATTTATTTCAAAAAACCCCTTACATTTTTAAAAGTGATCACATTTCTCCAATATTCGTATCTAACCTGTTAACGGGCTTATGAAATGACAAATTTAACCTTACTATTTAATATTAAATTTAAAACTTAAAATTATTTTTTTAAAATTACAAAAATACCCTTTGGGGTTGTCTTCTTTATCACCCTCTCTGTCTCTCTAAAATTCTCACCTCACACTCTTTCTAAAATAGAGGAAACCTTTTCAAATACACAAGACCATATTGAGCACTATTAATTTGTGAGTTGATGATTGATCTAACCAATGGGTGAGCTTGATGATGATGGAGGGAAGTTGAAGAAATCGGAGAGAACAGTAAGACCCAATCTGAGGCACGCCATTGAAGACCCACACAAAAGCTTCATCACTGTGTTGGTCTTGTATTTGATCCCTTGATATCAAATACACATATATGAGCACTATAGATTTGTGAGTTGATGATTGATCAAACCAATGGGTGAGCTTGATGATGATGGAGAGAAGTTGAAGAAATTAGTGAGAACAAGAAGACCCAATCCGAGGCACGCCATTGAAGACCCACACAAAAGCTTTATCATTGTGTTGGTCTTGTATTTGATCCCATGACATCAAATACACATTTACGAGCACTACTGATTTGTGAGTTGATGATTGATCAAACCAATGGGTGAGCTTGATGATAATGGGGAGAAGTTGAAGAAATCGACGATAACAATAAGACCCAATTTGAGGCATCATCGGTGAAGGAAGAAACCGGGTTGTCGTTGGCGACCTGGTGGTCGGAGTATAACAACGACAATTTCGATCACTGCAGGTTGTATCGGAAAAAAGCCTGGGTCGCATAAAGTTATCCAAGGGCTTGAGAGAGGATGTCGACATTTGGGTCAATGTCGTCTATGGATTCCAGGAAAGGCAGCGCTGCCAGTGTTCTTGTAACCAAACGGGTTGATGCAACATGTTCATCAATCGGCAAATTAATTTGGTCATAAATCAGTCAATAAGCAATACAATTGCACTCTTGTGGATTCGTCGGCTCGATTCCATTGCAGACGAGGATGACGGACTTAATTGGGCTTTACATAACTTGGTTTGTTCTAGCTTGGAGCTCCGTCGGAAATGGTGCGCTGCTCAACGAAAAGCTTATGTTATGAGCTTGTCGGTGCCGAAGTTGCAAGCAACATGAGCTTGATGTTACTTGAGAGCTCGCCGTTGCCGGAGTTGCAAGCAACATGAGCTTGCTGTTACTTGAGAGCTCGCCATTGCCGGAGTTGCAAGCGACATGAGCTTGCTGTTACTTGAGAGCTCGCCATTGCCGGAGTTGCTAGCAACGTGAGCTTGCTATATGGTCACCAAAGTGGGTTCGCCGTCACCCAAGTTTCAAACCGATTACGAGCTTGAAGCTTGTTGGTTTCACGAAGAAGGACTTCACCAGACTGGTTTGTTTCTGCCTGAAGCTTCGCTGGTTTGTTTTTGGTCTTCTGGAACTTTAGAGAAGAAGTGGAGAAGGCCAGTTTTTGCTTTATTGAAGAAGTGGAGGGTAAGCTTGAGTTTTTTGATGGGTCTATTTTAGAGGGAGAGAAGTGAGAGTATTAGAGAGAGAGATGGCGTGAAGAAGAAAACCCTAAAGGGTATATTTGTAATTTTAAAAAATAAATTTAAGTTTTAAATTTCACATTAAATAATAAGGTCAAATTTGTCATTTCACAGTCCGACTAAGTCAAATATGAATACTGAGATAATGTAATTAGTTTTTAAAATGTAAAGAATTTTTTGAAACAAGTTGAAAATTTATGATCAAAATTTAAAAGTACGGGTGTTTTATAAAATTAGCCTATAAATCAATCCAAAGTTGAAAAATAAAAAACAAACACCAGCTAATGTAGCATAGCCGCATGAAAAAATAAAATAAAACTTTACCACTAATATTGATATCACCGCATAGAGGTGTTATGTAAAATAATGGACTAAGGGAAAAGAATACAAGAAAATTAACTTAGAGAGCACTTATTTCACGAAAAATTAAATTTATTGTGTTTTATATAAGAAAATAGATCGATATCACCTTCTTTAAAATAAGTAATAACACAAATCATAAATTATTTTTTTTTGTTATTCATATTTCTATATATTTTTTAGTATTTATAATTTTATGTTTGACCAAGTGAAGTCTTAAAACAACCCGAAAGGAATGACAAGTACTACACTATAAATTAAAAAAAAAAACTACCATTTTTCCCCAATAAAATAAAATAAAAATTACTTTCAAATGGCACAAAATCATCTAACTTATAAAGAGCAAATTGGTAATAACCCAACAGGGCTCATTAGATCCAAATGGAACCCCAACGAGTCTTATTCAATTCAATTTTGTGTTCTAATTAATTTACTTTGAATATTCTTATTACTAGAGAAATATATAATTCTAATTCTAAGTGTTTATAACATCACTTCGAAGCTGTTAGAGCATTTCCAATACAAAATGCTATATTTTTATGCCAAATTTATTTTTTGAGATGAGATACAGTGTCAAAATGTTATATTTTTGCAATTCTGCTCAAATGGTGTATTTCATGTAAAATGCTATTTTTTTGATACAACAACCATTTCATGTTTTGAGAGCCCATTAGAGTGCCTTATTTTCAATTTAGCAATTTTTGATAATCTCAAAATATGAGAGATCTTTCGAGAGAGTATTGAAATGCCTATTTTCATCCACTTGCTGTCTTTTGAGTTTGAAAGGCCATTTGAGAGCTGCTATATGTGATAATACATTTGAGAATCTTAAAATATGAAAAATCTTTTGAGAGACCATTGAAATGCCTTAGTTTTATCCGTCTGCTATATTTTGAGTTTGAGAGGCCAAAGGCGAAACTCTTAAAAAGTATACTGTAGTTGGTTTTTTTTGTTAACACACTTTATTTTCCACATCCTCCTCATGTCATTGGTTGATTACAGCGCACACGGATTGCACAATTATTCATCCACAGCCGTCGATTAGATATCAATCCAACGATCACGAAACATCACTCCCCGTCAAATACCCACACCAAGGTGCCTTCACCAGCGCGTATATAATCGACACCCCATGCTCCTGATCTCTACACTGCTCGGAGAAAAACGTCTTGCTCTTCCCCTAATTTTAGCCGTTTGTTTCTCGAGAATTTCGTTTCTCTTCCTTTTTCCTCTTCTTCTGTGTTTGAGAAATGGAGACCGGTGGAAAGGCCAAGAAGGGTGCCGGAGGGAGGAAAGGAGGCGGCCCCAAGAAGAAGCCTGTGTCACGCTCCGTTAAAGCCGGCCTGCAGTTTCCGGTGGGAAGGATCGGCCGCTACTTGAAGAAGGGCCGATATTCTCAGCGCGTCGGAACCGGCGCTCCGGTATACCTCGCCGCCGTACTTGAATACCTCGCTGCTGAGGTAATATTAGTTTCTCCTCTCTCTCTCTCTCTCTCTCCATATATATATATATATATGTATGCACACACACACACAAGTATGTGTGTTTAGATACTTATGCCTATGTATATGTATTGTCATTTGTTGAGCTGGTTTTGTTGAAACTCTGTTATTCTAGGGTTTTATGTAGCATTTGATGTTGCTTGTATGTATATTTGGACTGAATCTGGCGTTTTGGCGAGACTCATTATTTAGTTTTGATCTTTCTGAGAGTGTGATTTTCAATCCGTTCATTTGTTGGATCTCCTGTTTTCCAATTCGATTCAAACTGTTGAAGCCCTAACGGGCGTACTTACAACAAGGGAAATAAGTGGGTTATATTTATTTATTTTTCCTTGAACATCATGGACTGTGCTAAGCAATGGGAAACATTTATATACTGGATTTGGTTGCTACCTTGGAATTTTTATTTCATTTATTCTTTTTGTCGACCACATTGAGAATGTTGGATTTAGAGATTTACTAAAAGATTGGATTAGATTTAAAAAAATGTCTCAAATCAATAGTTAATAAAGAGAGTTCACAGCTCATGAGAGCCTCATAGAGCTTAATATTAGACTAAAGTTTTTGAATTGTGAGATTTTGTGTTGATTAATTTAGTGGGTTTTGAACTTTGAAATGTGCTTAGGTTCTGGAATTGGCTGGAAATGCTGCAAGAGACAACAAGAAGAATAGGATAATACCAAGGCATTTGCTGTTAGCTGTAAGGAATGATGAAGAGCTGGGAAAGCTTCTTGCTGGAGTGACAATTGCTCATGGAGGTGTCCTTCCAAACATCAACCCAGTTCTTCTTCCAAAGAAGACTGACAAGGCAGGAAAGGAACCCAAGTCTCCCGCCAAGGCCACCAAGTCCCCGAGGAAGGCTGCTTAGTGTTGAAGAAAATTTTAAGAGCTTATTTTAGTTTGATCTGTATGTAATTTCACTCTCTGTTGTTACTATGCAGAATAGTTTGAAGTTTGTAGTTTGTAGGATGAATGACTGTGATTTGTGTATTATGTCTCTCTGTTGGAACAAATCTCTTGTTTCGGCTATTGAATGGCACAAAATGAACTTCGTTAGTTTTACATCTCATTTGTCAATATTTTTTTTTGGATGTGTAGTGTGTGTTTCTTTTTCTTGCTTGATGGATTGTTTGTTTGTTTAAAAGCACAGTACATTAGAGTTCAAATTCAAAAGCATTGGGCTTATTATGGTTGATTGATTTGAAATTCAATTGGATGGCTCTAGTTCCCTCATGAATGGATTGAGCCAAGTAAGATCTAAAATGGGATGTCTTGAGGTTGGCTTATTATGTATGTACTTCTAAGAGATTATTATCACTTAGAATATAAAGTATAAACATGCTTACCTTTGATGCATGTAGGAAAATTGTGGGAAATGATTACTTGAAAAGTATGTCATTAGGATGTGAAAAATTGCTATGTGAAACACCAAAATATTGCTTTATCGTATATTGTTTCAAAATCTTACAATTTTTTGTGCCATTTTTCTCTTTTGGTATTCACTTGCTTCCGGTCCGAAAGGCAAGGCTTAAACATCAATAGCTCGCATGGCTTAAACATCAATAGCTCGCATGTCCTTGCGTTGTCATTCGTGTTCTTTTTTCTTTTTTTTTTTTCAAAAAAAAATTATTTGTAACAGTTCAAATTTCGAGTCTTCCCACTCAAATTCATCGATCATGTAGTTGGATTGATCAAAATTTGAAACTGTCTCCTCCATTGGAGCCAACTTCTTTACTCCTATTTTTGAAGGGAATTCTACTTAATAGGGATTTTAAATTTGCATCAAATTTGTTTGATGCAAAAAATGCTATACAAAAGTAAAAAAAGGTGTTACTTACACGTGTGAGAGTTAGGATTGGTTGATGTGATACACAACATCATCGCAGAGGATTCGGGTCTAATGCTGCAATGAAAAGCCTACCACCGTGAACAAGAACTCTCTCTTATACCAAAATTTAGGACAACTTTCAATAAATATAGGATTTTTAGTTTTAGAAGAAAAGCATTGCAGTGAACCTTGATGAATTGCTTCTCAATGCTGTAAATGATTACTTGTTATAATTAATGTAAATGGGTATAACTTGAAAATAATTTTCTGAAACTTGTCATAACGGCTTCACTTGTTTGGAAATTACACTATTTTTTAAACTTGTCAAGCACATGATGATGCAGTAACTTTAAAAATTTAAATTATACTTCCAACAAACTCCTCTTGCACTCCAATTAATTTTTAGACACATTTTGAGTTCGGCTAGCACAGATATAAGATTTACCCTGTAATCTCGTGTCACGGGTTTAAAAGGACTCTTCTTAAAAAATAATACGCAGGTAAAAATATAAACATATAATTAGATACACAATGTTAGATATATAAACTTAGATTAATTTTACTTCACTCAAAATTGGATGGAGGGGAATGCACAGGGAAGACTTTGCTTGTGAGCGGTTTTTAGTAAAATTATTGATTTTTTAAAATTTTTTAATTAAAGAACGAAATAATATCGAAATTGAGATACTGAAAAAAAAAAAAAAATTAGGGTTAGATATGTGATTATCTTATAAAAGGGGTATTATATGCAACTTAAAAAATACCAAGGCATGAAAGAGGAAGACAGGGCTTTAAACCCTGAATTGGGCTCCTCTACATTACTACGGTGAATTCGCTGATCTCCACCGCTCCATTTAAGCGACGGAGCCACCTCAACAATTGAGTAGAGGAGTTGAAACTTTACCGTTTGACGTTGTGCCCCCTTTCAGTTCAGATCCTTAAACCCATCGCGACGCTGCACATACGTCGTCCAGAGAGGAGAGGAGAGGAGAGGAGAAGAGAAGAGAAGAGAAGAGAAGAGGAAAAGCGTGGCGGTCTAGGTATTTTTCATCTTTTTAGGGTTAGGGTTTTTCTTACTCTGCTTGTTCTTCTCTCTTCCGTACTCTTTATTTTTCCACTTTATTATTTTGATTGTTGGATCAATCTTGGTTGTGGATTTGCATGTTATATATATATATATGAGTTGTATACATATATTACGCCCGCAAACTTAAGTTTTTGTTTTTTCCTTTCTATTGTTTTTGAAATGTTTGTGTGAAAATAATTCAGAGTGTTTGATGTGACAGTGATTTTACATTAAAAAATGTTTCATAATTCTGTTATTTTCCACTTACTATGATAAGGATCACACGGAGAGATTTTTTGCTCTTAATTTTCTTCCACTCTGCAGTCTTTTCATCTCTTTGTAGCTTCTAGTACAATTGTAATTACAGGTATAAACCATAAAAAAAGAAGAAGATATATCTCCAAGTATGATGATAATTATCAACAAGATTGTACTCAATAGAGTAGGATTTCTGTATAATTCTCTGTTGTCCTCTGTTTTTCTGTTGTAACAATGCATGGTTGCGAGGATAAAATGGCTTTTCCTCTGAGTAATTTCACTGTTGCCACTAGATCAGACTCTGTAGTTGCCTTTTTCATTGCAGAGAAATTAACAAAAAAATAATACGTTTCTATGTAATAATATAATATATAATGATTTTATTACTGTATCCTTGCCATGTCAGGATCTTTCAATTTTTTTGTTTTAAGATTTGCTGTATGGTACTATCCGTATTGTGACTTACACGTGTCTCTGTATTTAATACTTATCCATTCTTATTTGCTAATGCTCTCTCAATAAATGGATGCTTGACCATTGAGTATTTATGAAGTCATTAAGACACTAGGTAGCTCCGTATATTCAACTTTTAGTTGATTACAAGGCCATGAATTCCAGATGTCCAAACAGCATTATGAAATAATTGAAGTCATTGATGTCAGATAACTGAAGCCATGACCAACAGAAAGCGATTGCAGAAATTGTCATAACTAACTTCAACTTAATAACTGAAACGGCATCAAACCCTTATGGAATAATGAATAGTAGTATACACCTACGCCATCAATTGCAAAGAGAAGATCATAAATTTCTTTCACTGTGATACTTTAGCAAACTTTTACTTCATCTGATCTTAATTTTGACGAATAATAAATTAATTTACTTGAATGCCATCTAAAGCTCAATTCACATTGAAGAAACTTCTTAAGACCAACATGACTATCTAATGGATGTGTACCCCAAACCATGCTTGCTCTAAGTCAGGCATGGCTTGCTGACCTTTTATTCTTTTGGGGAATCAAGGGAGATATAATTCATTGATGCTGTTACAGTACTTTGTGGAATTTTCCCAAAAAATAAAATAAAAATTCACGCATTTGAGAGTGAATATGATTGCTTTCTTCCCCCCACCCTACAAAAAAAGAAAGAGGTTACTTAGTCGGAGATCTCAATACAATGTTGTTCCATCTGTCATCAATATTAGGATGATTTTCTGTCATCGAATAGGTTATAATGGTGGTAATCCTTGAATTGGATTACTTATGATTCTCAAGTATAAAAATATTTTGTTTCATGTGACCGAATAGAACAAGTAGGTGATAATAATGACCATGTTTGAGTTGTGGAAGATACTGCCCATGTGTATATCTTTTATTTTTGTTAAAAAGCTCAGCTGATGGTTCAGGTAGTCTTGTCTAGCTTCACAGGATGTTAGTGCATCACTGTAGTTGTTGTTGTTAGGCAACCCTGGATTGTGGTTTCTTCTTAATATAATTTGTGCCACCATAGATTTTACAGTATACATTCATAGAGAAACAATTCTTCTTTTAGCTTATTATCAATATAAATATTTAAATCATAAGAGTTTCTTATAATTATACAAAAATCTGCCTGTTATTGCAGTTGAGTCAGCCACTTCCAAAGAAGCAGCTTCTTGTATTGGCCGTTGCAGGAGTCAATTAAAAGATCCACAGGTTTGTTGCAAAGCTCAATTGCTTCTTGATGCGGTTCCTGTAACTGATACTTACTAAATATACTTCTACTACAATACTGAATAGACATACTCATATAATACAGTTGGCACAATATCGGAGGCTGCTTGTAGCTATACAAGCTATACCATCACATTCACCTCCAAGATTGTGTAAATTTAAGAAATGCTGTCAAGGAATACAATAAATTATCAATCTGGGAATTGAACAGACTGAACCCTAAGTTTATTTGGGTCAGCTAATTTTGTATATGGATGTGTTTTCTTTCACAAAAGATTTTCTAGCTATAGATTAGGGCTAATTTGAACAAATTGCGAACCAATTATCTAGCACAACCATTTCCACCACCATAGCTCCTACAAACCCACACTCCTGCAATCCATCGTTAATAACTTTAAGTTCGAAATCCTATCTTTGTATTCGTTATGTTTTGTCTTCATTTTAATACTGATACGTATATAATCAATTGCCGTGTATTTACAGTATCACTCAGCAGCAAAAGGCAGCCATGAAGTTGACTGTGGATGTTTTGAGGGACCTCTCCAAAGATGATTTCAGGGTTCTCACTGCTGTTGAAATGGGAATGCGCAATGTCTGTAACTCTCTCTCTCTCTCTCTCTCTCTCTCTATATATATATATATATATATATATATATATATCTATATCGTAGTTAGTTGTTTTTGACTTCAATCTATATAATTCTCATGCATATTTTATTCCTTAAATTTCTGAATGTTCTCTCTTTTCTATCCCTCTCTTATATACTAATTCAAAATGACTTGTGACAAATGACCATGATGATGATGAAGATTGGCTAATTCTCCTCCATTGTTTTTTCAGCATGAAATTGTGCCTTCGGCACTCATCGACCGCATTGCTGCCCTCAAGTATGGGGATCATACCTTTTTATTATGTTTGATTTACTTCTCATTAAATGTTTCCTAGATAATAAAAGTTTATTTCTTCATATGAACATCTCTGTGTATTGTACAGGCATGGAGGCACTTACAAGGTGTTGAAGAATTTGCTCAAACACAAACTGTTGCACCATGATTCTTCAAAATGTGAGTGACAGTTATTGGACAGCTAATAATGATGGAGCTTCCATACCCACCTGATTCTGTTTTACCCTTTATTATCTAGATGACGGTTTTCGGCTCACCTACCTTGGTTATGATTTTCTTGCAATTAAAACGTTGGTTAACCGTGGAGTTTTTACGTCCGTTGGTCGTCAAATTGGTGTTGGAAAAGAGTCTGGTAACATAAAAGTTCCCTTTTGTTTTTTTACTTTTTTGGTTTGTTCTACAATTTGTAGTTTCTAGGTTTTTATATGTTATTGATATTGCTTAGGAATTGTAATATTTTTTTTGTTCAAGATATCTTTGAAGTTGGCACGGAGGATGGTACAATTCTTGCTATGAAGCTGCACAGGTTGGGTAGGACTTCTTTCAGGGCTGTCAAATCAAAGCGTGATTACTTGAAGCATCGCAGTAGTTTTAATTGGCTCTACTTGTCACGGCTTGCTGCTCTCAAAGAATTTGCATTTATGAAGGTTAACTACTATCTTTTGCATTTTTGGGTTGCTTTGTATTTAGTTATTATTTTCTTAGTCAGTTTTGGCTTGACATGTGTGCTCTACACGAGCAGGCGTTAGGTGAGCATGGTTTCCCTGTTCCAAATGCCGTGGACTGCAATCGACATTGTGTGATTATGTCCCTTGTCCAAGGTTATTCACTGTAAGAGTTCAGTCACAATTGCTTTTGCAGCATGTACATCTGTGTTGGATTTAAAATTCATCTCATCCGTCATGCTTCTCTAAAGTTTTGTATATAGTAGTCAAAATTTACGTCAGATCACATATTCCCATATGTGGGGGTTTGATGCAAATACACTTCCTTAATACTGTATGTTTGTGGTTATGCTATTTTTAGAACATGAAAAAAACTGCAAAATTATTGGATCAACTATTGGTTATTGTTGAAAATTGGGAGGGAGCCATTAAAATTCTTATCCTTGTTCCTTGGATAATAGTCAAGTATACTCTATCTATGGTTACTCTTTCGATATCTTAATAGGGTGCTTTCACAAGGCTTATATTTCAGCAGCCACCTTTGAATCTGAGAGTTACTAATTAATGCAGTGTTTGAGATTTACACACACTAGCGATTCGAGGTTTTTTATTCTTATTTAGGATAAACTGAGTTTCTTGCCCTTAGTTTTAGCAGGATCATTTGAAAATTTGGAAATGCCTTTGCATATTATCAATCCTCTTAAAAAAAATGAATGTTTTTAGAGCAGTGATTCATGTCATGAAAAAATTTGTGATATGTATCACAAAATCAGCAAACGTTGCCGTTTTTAACGACTCTTCTAATACCCCATTTCAACTTGCTCCATCTGCTACTCTTCTAATATCCCAATTTGTTTGTTCCTTGCTTCATCTCCCACCTTCTTCCGGCAGTCTCTTTGCCCTCCACATCTCATGCTCTATTTACCAACAAGCATAGTTGTTAAAGGCGCCGGAGGCGCGCACCTGAGGCGCAAGGCGCCTCCAGGCGCCACCATGTCGCCTCCAATGGCTTAAGGCGCTGGGGTTGAATAGGGCGGCCGCCTTTGTATAACAGGCGCAAGGCCACAGGCGCACAGAAGGCGCGCCTCTTGAAAAAGGGAACTTTTTTATAGTTGTTTTGTTATTTTTTCAGTTTTGTATTCTTTATTATTTGTTTATTAATTGTTTATTATAACTTTTTATTTGTTTATTACACAACTTACGAGTTACAAAACGAAAAAATAAAAAGAAAACCAAAAGCAAAAGTGGAAAGAGACAGATCTGCCGGCAGTGAAGGCGATATCTGCGAAGCTCTCGGATCTGCCGGCTCTCTCAGTCTCGGCCCTCTCGGATCTGCCGGTCAGTTCTCCTTCTCTCTCTCCTTCTTTCCTCCTCTCCTCCTTCTCTCTCTTCTTCTTCTCTGTTCTCACCGAATCTCTGTCAGATTTTTTTTTTTTTTCTCTCTTCTTTTCTTCTTCTTCTTCTTTTCTTCTTCTCTCTTCTTCTCCTCCTTCTCTCTCTTCTTCTTCTCTCTTCTCTTCTGTCGTCAGAATGTAAGATTTTTTTTTTTACTCTCTTAGTCTTTTCTTCTTCTTCTTCTTCTTCTTCTCCTTCTTCTCTTCTTCTCCTCCTTCTCTCTCTTCTTCTTCTCTCTTCTCTTCTCTCGTCAGAATGTCAGAATTTTCTTCTTCTTCTTCTTCTTCTTCTTCTTCTTCTTCTTCTTCTTCTTCTTCTTCTCCTCTCGGCTCTCTCTTCTTTCAGTTCTTTGAGTTTCCTTTTGCTTTTGGCAGATTTTATTTATTTATTTTTATGCGTGTCTAGAATCTGGATGATGTTGGTCCTCTGTTTTTTTGAGGGTTTTTGCGTAGTTGTTGTTTCTGTAGATTAGTGCCTTGCTGCCTTGCATGTGTTTGGTGATGCGCCTGATTGATTTTGTTTACTCCTTATTAAAACAGATAATAGAGATATACCTAATCAATCAATCATGGTGCTTATAGAAAATTAGATTGATTTGATTTGAGAATATAGCACATCCTTGATCCTTGTGGTTTTTGCAAGATAAATTCATAATTTCTATTTAATGCATCCAAACATGGTGCTTGCAACTTGCAAAAACGTTTTATTCGTGCTTAATGAAAATTAGATTTGATTTGACTTAAAAGTAGTAATAGCACATCCATGTGATTTTTGCAAGATGAACTCAAATTTTCTAGCATCCAAACATTATTGCAATCTTTATATATACTATTGCATCTTTAATACTTTATTGGGTGGGTTTTGTTTTGTTTTTTTTCAACGTGCGCCTTACTTCAGTCGGGCGCGCGCCTCGCCTTGCGCCTTGCGCCTCAGGCTCCAGGAGGCATTTGCGCTTTTGTGCGCCTTGAGCCAACTATGCCAACAAGCGTTAATAGACTCCACAAAACATTAACATCAAGACTAGTATGAGGTTGAGGATTGCTTGGAATGTTTCTCAACGATTTTTGATTTTACGAGTGACTCCAAACCAAAAATTGGACCCATAAAGATTTAAAAAATTTGTTCTGATCTTTATTTTTTTCCAATTAATAATGTCAGAAACTCATAGATGGTGATTACAATTATTTTGGAGATCAAAATCCATCCATTTAGAGAGTAGCTTTTTATTTATCAGGATTCAGTTGCTTCCAATTGATATGGCTGGTAAAAGCTCTCCGCATAATTCGTTTATTAGTGAACATGGGCATCAGGCTTTACCTAATATGCTCATGCTAGTCCACAAAATCTCTTTTAACATGTTTGTCCCCCTCTAGCATATACAAGTGTGCAGTAGACACTTACAAAAAGATGGAATTTGATCTAAAATAGACCTTTAGTTTATATCTTTTGGGTTACAAGAGGAAAGGTAAAATGTTGATATAAATCTATGAAGGTGGCATTACCTCCTGTCACTAGACCAACCTGCCCTGTGCAATGCGCAGATGTTTTACAAAGCAACAGTTGAAAAATATTCTTGTATAGTTGTGGGGTAATTAGGAACATTAATTTAAAGCTGTAGATTGACGGGTTTTCAATTATAAAAAATCTTCAAACAACCCCCCCCCCCCCCCCCCCCAAACAAAAGCGAGTTATAAAATCCAATGGCATTGTCCCTTAAGTTTATTTTTATATTTATTTAAAAAATTTTGTGGGTGCTATTTCTTTCTCCCCTTTTCTTGCTCTCTCCTTTTTTGTGAGAAAGCCCCCTTAAATAGTGATGGTGTTGCTTTGATGAGTAACAGACTGAATATTATTTATCAAATTATTTCCAATGTAGTGTGCAGGTGAAGGAATTGCAAAATCCGGACGTAGTTTATGAAACGATTATGGGTCTTGTTGTTCGTCTGGCAGAGCATGGGCTTATTCATTGCGACTTCAACGAATTCAACGTTATGGTATGCTATATCATATTTTGCTAATGTAAGGCCTTGGTTTCATTATCTTATATAACAAATGTTTGGATTGACAAGCGTGACTCATGGTTTAAATCTTTTGGTGGCCGCTTAGAATTTTCTGTGCACATTCATATGGTGGATGAGACTGTCTCGCAACATATATTACTTAATTGAACTTCTAAATTATATTTGCATTTTCTTTGCAATGTAGATCGACGATGATGAGAAAGTCACCATGATAGATTTCCCACAAATGGTATCAGTATCTCATCGAAATGCACAAATGTATGAAGCACTTCTTGCACTTCCCATCTGATGTTCTTTCAAATTTCCATCTTATGCATCAATTTTCTGATCATTGATTTTTATCTTGATGTAATCTGCTATTATTAACCTATTTTTCTTCTTTGTTTCAGATATTATCTTAAAAAATTAGTTCTTATTAAGTTCCATTTTTCAGGTACTTTGATCGTGATGTCGAATGCATCTTCAAGTTTTTCAGCAGGAGGTCAGTGTTTTATTATTTAAGGGCCCTGAAGGATTGATGCCTTTCAATGTCTTCAAAAATTGATTCACGATTCAGCCAAGATTGAGCTTATGGCCTTCTGGGTGGTGATAATGATATCTGAAACAATGCAACTATTAACAGCATGCTCATTATAGCTGCTCCTTTTATTGTTATTTTAAAATAACCTTTGCGAATTAACTATGGTGCTCCTGTCATTGTATATCATAAATAGACCTTTGAAGAAGTCCAATCGGTAATTACAAAGTTCAAGTCTCACAACACAGTTACTTAATTCCTCGTAAGTTAATTTGTAATTGTTGGGTCTAGATTGATGTTGCCTTGGATTTTTCATTTATCCAGCACAAAATTACAACTTAAATGACATATAGATTTGGAAGAATATTGTAAAATCTTATCACCGGTAATTTTGTTGAGTCCTGATATTAGTAAAAAATGATTCAAGTGTCTTTTGCAATATCTACTTAGACAAGTATTGCAATAATGTCAGCTGCTGTTAATTTTTTTTGTTTTTTTGATAAGTAAAATTTATTGAAAACGCTCAAAAAAAGGGGAGCGGAACCCATGATAACAAAAAGGCCACAAAGCGCCTTAAATCTTCAACGAGGCCAAAAATACAATAATTTCCTCAATGGATTTATAATCTCTCCCTGACACCCAACAAAAAAGAGTGGAAATAATAGAGAACTTAAGCGTAGAAATAGATTTCTTCTTTCCATCAAAATATCTCCTATTTCGCTCGAGCCAAATGCACCACCAAATACAAAGAGGCGTAGCCCTCCAAGCCTCCTGAATACTTATTACTTCTTGCCTTCTTTAATTTATTGGTTAGATAAAGTGTCGAGGGAGAAATCCCTTGGTGCCTGTCTCTTGTTCGTCTTAAATGCTCTTAGTTGGGTGATAGAGAGCCAAAAATGGTGTTGCAGTTGAAGAGTATTTAGTGCAATAATGGTCTGCAAGAAAGTCTTGACGAAGCAAGTATTTTTCTGGTCACATTCAATCATTGCTATTAGATAGGACTGTAAATGAGTCAAACTGTTCACGAACAGTTTGGGCTCGACTCGATAAGAGCTCGGCTCGTGATCGTTTACTAAGTAAACTGACCGAGCTGAGACAGTTTTTTCAAGCTTGTTTTATAACTGAACCAATCTCAAAACAATTGTGACATCACCTCATTTGTAGGACTCGATTATATATATATATATATATCATATGTATAATGTAGGGTAAAGTGCAAAAAAATACCGTACAGAATGTGCAAAAAACATGTTCACATAAATCCTTAGCATTTGAAAATATGTGCAAATTGCCCCTTGACCGTCAATTTTGACCAATTTTTTATTAAAAACCCAAAATACCCTTAATAATCTGTGTTTTATGAAATCAATGTTTTTATTTTTATTTTGTCTTAACGGCATTTTAGGTATTTCAGTTTTCCAAATTGAGCACATTCTGTATATAGCAGATTATTTTTTTTTTAGCACTTCACCCTATGATATATAATGTATATTATATACTAGTAGAAAGAGTTAAAGATTCAAAATATCCAAGCAATTATTAAAATTATTTGGTGGTGGCTTCCCATTTATGCGTCACGCACCTCCAGACTAGCCTTCAACATCTGAGGTCTAGAGTCTTCTCATTGTACTATTCTATGTTGCCCTCTTAAACACTCCTCTCAACTCACGCTTGTTATCTCTAAAATTCAAATGATGCAAACGACGCCAACCACTGTAGAATCTACAGGTGAGTTTCTCCCTCCTTTTTCTCTCAAAATCTCTCACTCTCTCAAAGTTTTCTCTTCTATTCTAGGGTTTTAATTTCCTCCTACAAGTTTTACTCAAATAACTGAATGGTGTTCTGTTTTGAACTTCACGAGTTCCAAGTTTCAAATCAGTACCATTCTGGCCCTGATTCTCTGGTGACCCTCACCGACAACCAGTTGTAGTCTATCTTTCTAATTTTCTAACTTCTCCTCTCTCTCTCTCTCTCTCTCAATTGTCTGTAAATCATGGTTTTTTACTCACTAATTTATCTAATTCATTTCTCTGTGTTGAATGGTTGGTTGTGTTGGATGATCGATGGGTAATGTTGCAACAGATTTTTTTTTTTTTGGTTGCATTCATAAGTCAAGCTTGATAATCAGCTTGAGCTCCGCTTGTTAAATTAAACGAGCTAAGCGAGCCGAGCTCTAGTTTGCATAGTTATATCTACACCGAGCTCGAACAGCCTACTACTTGGCTCGGCTCGGCTCATTTACAGCCCTACTATTAGGACTAACAGTGTTAGCATTTATTCCACGAACAAAACCTCCAAACTATATATATATATATATATTCTATATATAATGTAATGTTTAATCTATATATAATATTGTTTTAAGTGTTTACATTTGTTTTGGTAGTTCTAAATCGAATTGGATTAGGAAAACTCATAAATCTTCAATTTCCAGGCAAGTGGGATTAAACCTGACACGTCTGGATTAATCTCTCTGCACTGTTTTCTAGGAATCAATCCCTTAAGCCACAGGGATTGATCCTGACATGCTCCAGTCGGGCATTTTAAACGTTTTAACACATTTTAAGCTCCAAAATATATAACTTGTTATTTTAAGTCCAATTCACCACCAAATATAACCTAGGTTCTGGTAGTCCAACTATCTAAATGATTTAACCAACCTAGACCCTGAGTAAGGTTTTTTACCTTTTCAGGACATGCGATTGAAATCTGAGGAAACAAGCAGGTTCATAAAAAAACCAAACCCTTCTGTCTTCCAATCTTCTCTTGTTCGTTGTGTCTACTTGATGAGCAAACTCTCTCAAGACTCACCATGCCATTTGTTCAATACTGGAGCCTATTCTGTTATGGAATTTGCAACATATTGACACAAATCCTAACACAACATTTTTATTTGACCTCTTCCTCTGCATTTTTGTAACATTTCTTAGGGGTCAAATATACAAAATTACAAAATTTATGACTATATTAATATATGCAGAACATCTATAGAGTTTAGGCGTGATCAGATGAACTTACTGGTGTGTGGCTCTGCTGCTACTATAATTGGAGTAGACCAGCTGGTTTGTTTCATGTGTTGGACTGGATAAGACTTGGCTAATATGCAGTCACCTTTGAAAACAATACAAAAATGCGAGAAAAGAGTTCAAGCTATGGATGTCAATTTGGCAACCTAAATTAAAACTTATGGTACTTAAATCTCTTCAATACAGCTAAATCCTCGCCATCACATGATATTTTTATGCTTGCAGTTGAGCAAACAATATTAAAAGGATATAATAAATTTGTATGGAAAATGTTTATGCAGATGCATGAACCATACTGTCTTGGTTTTTTTTTTATTCAGATTTCTTTTAGTATTGTTAATGCACATATATCTTCAACACATTCTTCCATGGTTTGTATCTATTGTTTCCTCGTGGCTGTGCCTTCTATCATTACCAGTGAATAAATCTTTTCTATATATGTTCCTTCTTTCAATTTTTTTTTATGTTTATTTATTTTTCATTTATTCTGTTTCCTTCAGGTTTGGCCTATCTTTTGAAGAAGACGATTCAGAGGTGGATTCAGATGAAAATAGCAGGCCTCAGTTTTCTTCAATAACAAAAGTTGATGGTGTCCTAGACAAGGAACTTGCTGCCAGTGGGTTTACTAGAAAGGATCAGGTTGACATTGAAAAGGTATGAAATTATGGTTCTTATTCTATGTGGCAGTGGGAAATGTCTGACGTGTTAAATGAATAATGCATGGTTAGCCTTGGAATGGTCTTATATTTCCCTATGATTCCCAGGGCATGGTTAATAACATGGTAATTGCCCCTGCGGCTCAGGACATGAAAACTTGTGTTGATTGTTAAGAAGGATTTTTATGAGGTGGATGCCGAATCGTTGGTAGTCTTATTCTCTGGACGATGCCTAGTCGTGTGAGCTGTGTCATCTTCAGCATCCCATTTCAAATGATTTAAGCAAGATAATGAAAAGAAGTCAAACGTGTGTCCACTTGTCCATATATATTCTTGTTTTTGCCAGTAGTTCTATAATTTTTTTCCCTTCTTCTGAGTCCTGCTTATTTTCAAACCTCCTTAACTTCAGAGCATGCCTTTGTAGTTTTAGGTCAGCTTGTATTGGTAGTCGGGTATCAGCGGATGTCATGTTTGTAAATGAACAATTGAACATTATGCACCATTTGCCTCTCCTATAATGATATTTCGCACCATTTGCCTCTGGTATAATAATATTTCGTTCTTGACCTGCTTTCAAAGAAAGGGGCATTCCAGTTCCTCCTTGTTACCGCTGTACTGTCACTTTCAAAATGTCTATTGGTATCTGGAATTTTCTCTCTTAATTTTGAGGGTACAGTTGATTTGCATGTCGTGGGTATATCCACACTTTTGCTTTGCTGCAGTTCAGACTCCTATTGGTAGACTAGCTATCATTCCCAAGAATTATATTCTGTTTGAATCAATTATTGCTCAATTGTCTTTTTCTTTGTAAATATAATTGTGACATAAGGTCTCTCATTATCTTTTCAGTATTAAATATCTATTGTTTTTTTCCTTGCGCAGTTCACTGAAGGAGATCTTGAGAAGGATCCAGGTTCTGATGATGAACAAACTACAGACGAAGGACACACCTCGGACACAATAAATCAAGCAAACATCGAGGACATTGGTTCATTGTGCCTACTGGAGCAGGTAGGTCCTTGAAAAGTTTTTGCCAACATGATTCTAGTGCAATTTCATGATTTTTTTTTTTTTTTTTTTTTGTAAATAACTTAGAGTACAATTAAGATCTGGTGCATGATTCCAGTCCTTTTTGGACTGAATTAAGCACAATGATCTCTGGAATTAAGCACAATGATCTCTGGAATTGGGCAGCAGAAATTTGTATTTTAGACTCTCACAATTATTCAAGCTTAACGAGATATTGAGATACATTACCAGTCTCTCTCTCTCGAATTGACACCGACCAAGGAATGAACTTTGGTAGGTCCAGACTAAAACGTCAGTTATTGTAAACTCAATCCCGAGTCAGCGAGTCATGCCATTTGTTTGGACGGGTGCTGAATTGGTGTTCAGATTGTGAATGTGTGAGCTGAGTGGATTTGCCACCGATCCTCCCATTGCATTATTTAGATTCATCCATTTTTTTTTTGGGAAAATCTCTACTTAGTCCTACTTTCTAGCTCTAAAGACAAATAAGTCCTATGAAATCTTCACAAAGACAAAGACGTCCTACTTTTGAAAAGCATTTCCAAGTAAGTTCAGATTCTGTGAAAAATGAACATTTTTCCAGTATTGCCCTTTATGCTAAGTTACCATTACTGTTTTTTTTAGGAAAAATTTAAAATACGACAACTTAACTTGGATACGTTACAAATACGACCAAGTCCAAAAAGAATGGATGAAAAGTAACATTTTTAGAAAAAGTATTACAAATATGACAACTTTAGGATAGTAATTTCGTATTTTACAAGTATGAATACAATTGGGTCCAAATTACCCCTCATCAATATTTTTAATTCCCTCTATATCACAACCATCTTCGTCTCTATATCACCACCATCTGAACAAAATCCAACCATCATCAACCTCGCGTCATTCCCCACTTTCCGTATCTATTCATCTTCTCTCTCTCTCTATATCACCACCACCCACCACCATCACCATCACTGCCACCAATACACACGGGAACACCACCAAACTTTGAAAGTTGAAAGTCTTTGCTGATGAGTCTAATCTGAGTATGAACTAAGAAATCTAATGTACTGAGATGAAAATTAGACCAAAGGCTTTCAATTTTAGAATCTCATCAATTGAGACAAAATCTAAAATTGAAAGCCTTTGGACTAAATTAAAGCCTGTGTTTGAATATCATCTTCATTTCCTGTCTAGACAAAATGAAAATTAGTCTGAAGGGAAAATTCAAACTGCTGTGAAAAGCTATGATTGTGATTTATATTGTATTATGTGATGCCAATCCCGAATTGAGGGGAAAATGAAGAAAGGTTGATAGCCCCAAATAATTTGGTCATTTCCATGAATTATTTTTGGCTTGGTGGTGGTGAGAGAGGGTCGCAGGAGACGATGGGTTTACTGGGATACAAAGAGAGGCTTGGTGGTGGTGGGTGGTATTGGTGGCAGTGGCAGTGATGGTGATGGTGGTGGGTGTCTTTCTGGCGAACATTCTGCGACCACCGGTGATCCCATCTTCTCCGGCAAAACCATCGTTATCCCTCCAGTACACTTTCTCATAGATCTGCTCAGAATCAAGCCCTGCGCTGGTGTTCTAGACGTCGGCTGCGGTGCCCGCGGCCCTATGCACGCCATCGCCACACACACCGGCAATTGCAGCAGTTGTGATTACTGTAGCTGAGAGTTGTGATTGGTTCGATTGCAGTCAAAAGTAGGGTTTGATCTTGCAATTTTGGATTGGGATTTTGGGTTTGATATTGCAATTTTGGGTTGTGATTTTAGGTTTAATAATGGCCGCCAGAAAGGGATGCTTCAAGAAGCTTAGGAGATTTGTACAGACGGTGTATTTCATGGTGGCGCCGTTTCTGATCCTCTCGGCTTCTGTATTGGTAGAGATAGTTGATATATTGGTGCAGAGAGAAATTGCGTGTGGTCAACGGTGGTGGTGGACGGTGGGGATGGAGGTGAAGTTGGGGTTGGGTGGTTGGTGGTGGTGGCGGTGATGGTGGTAGTGGTGGGTATTGGTGGCGGTGATGGTGGTAGTGGTGGGTATTGGTAATGGTGATGGGGTTGGTGGTGGTGATGGTGGTCGCCTGATAGGTGGTGGTAGAGAGAGAGAGTAGAGAGAGAAAGGAGGTGGATGGAAAATTAAAAAGTGGTGAGGGTAATTTGGACCAAAAGAGTATAATTCCTTGTTTGGTAATTATTTTAGTTTAGTAGTTCTTTCACCCGCATACTATTTGGATACGGTCATATTGGTAAGACTACACAAATAACTTGTCATTTATTAAATTTTCCCCATTTTTTATTTTTATTTTTTTTATATACTAAAATACAAATTCTCCTACTTTCAATATTTTGTAATTAATTACTTCATAAAAAAAAAATTATTTGTTACCAAAATAAACAATCCTAAAAAATTTAATAAAGTATTTCAAATACACTTTTCTTAAATATTCACATGTTAAAATACAATGAAAAACTTTTCATTAAATACATCTCTGAATAACAAATGAATTATTTCCTTTCTTTTTGAATTTTCTATTTCATATTTTAACATGTGAATATTTACAAAAAATGTATTTGAAATACTTTATTATTTTTTTTTTTGATTATTTATTTTGGTAACAAATATTTTATTATAAAAAAAAAAAAAAAAGTAATGGTAACTTAGCAATAAAGGGCAATACTTGAAAAATGTTATTATTCATAGAACCTGAACTCTTTTGGAAATATTTTTCAAAAGTAGGACTCTTTTGTCTTTGTGAAGATTTCATAGGACTTACTTGTTCTTTAGAGCTAAAAAGTAGGACTAATCAGGAATTTTCCTCTTTTTTTTTTCTTTTTTTTTTTTTTCCCTGAAGGAGTCTTGAGGTGGATCTTTGTAAAATGAAAAAAAATACATATATGCTCTTATGCAATTTTGCATGTGTTTGTGTGGCTTGCATATGCATGCCAGTGCCTCCATGCTTTCTTTGGAGATGCTTGTGCTCTGAAGAAATTTTAGAGTGATGTAGCCCTAGTATTTTTGTGCCTACTCCCGCTATCCACTTTGTAACTAGATGAATTGTACTTGTTAGGTTGGGCCATACTTGATACTTATCAAAAAAAAAAAAAAAAGGTTGCCATACTTGACAGTTAACATGACTATTGGCATGATAGTCATTTAGTTCGTTGTCACTTAAGTATATAAGCTTGTGGCTCAAGTTGGATTGTTTTCCGGGTTTGATGTTCCGTACTCCACTAGCATCAGATCTTACCTGAATTGGGTTGCACCCCAAAAATATATGGGTTTTTTTTTAAATTTTTTTTATTTAATTTGAACTTCATTCTTACATAACCTGAATATTTTATTTGCAATAATGTATCTGCTTTACTTTTATTGTACTGAACATGATAACATCTTGTGTTTGTTAATATAAATCAGCATGAGCAAATTGTGAATTGTGGCGAGAAAGGTGAAACTGGGGGGAATCAACAGTTTGCTGAAGCAGGACAGAGCAATGCATCTGAGACTCAGAATGCAAGTGACACGGTATATTTTGAGAATTATTCTTTCCTAGATGTACCGTGATTTCCATGTTGAGATTTAAACCATATGTAATATGCTCTTATCTAGACCTTGCTCTTAGGTGTATTAATATTGAGCTTGTGATTAGGCTTTTAATCAACCATATGTTTTTTTTTTTTTTTGGTCATATAGTTTCTTCTCCAGTTTTAGAGTGGAAGGACTGTCCTGGTAGTCGGATTCTTCCACTTTTATTTGGTTCATGATGGAGAGACATTCCTGTGAGATAATTCTTCGTTCTTTTCTCTTTGATTGGAGCCATAACTTAGAAATTAGTTATCAGAATATTAGCTCCTGATCCTGACTGACCAAAAAAATTAAATAAAAAAAAACGGAAGAAATAGGAGTTTGATGCAGGACTTCAAGAGAAGCCTCAAATGGCTGAAATTTAAAGAATTCACTGAATAAAATTTGAGACAATACAGGCTTAAGGTTGGATGGTGGGAATATAGATTTAAATAAGAGAAAGGATATGAAATAAGAGGAACCTATTGAGTTATCAGAAAATTCTAAAAAAGTTAATTGCTCATTAAATTTCCATTAGCAGTCATGACTCTTAGACGTACAACCATAAGACTCGACTTTTAACAATGACTTGAGTTATAACATAAATAAAAGTACATATAGACTTTAGGTTGATTGCTTTAAATGCCTAAAGAATTCATAAAGGAGGATGCAACTTGACCAAAATGCCAATATGCAAGGCTCTAAGTGAGCCCCTCATCAACCAAGATATGCCAAATAATGGTTTGGGTATTAGATACTTCCTTCCACGCCTTCTATACACCAAAGTTTGCTGCCACTGATCTAACATCAGTTTGTGTGTTGAAAAATAGTGGAATAAAGCGGTAAGCACTGAGTCATGGTAGAAGGACATGAGTCTTAGGCTTTATGGGTAAGGGGAGGGTTCCACTTTTGGTGTGTAGTAGTTTTACTCTCACTTTCTGAATTTTATATCAAGATTTGTATTGGTACTTGTATCTCGCCTTGCAGTTTAGAGGAGTTTAAATATCAAACCTCTTCCTTTGTTATTCCAATGTCGAACAATTAATATGGCTGATTCTTAATTTGTCTGAAGCCCTCAATGTTGAACAATTTATAAAGCTGATTTTTATTTTGTCTTAAGCCCTCATAATCTAATTTGTTTCATCCAGGAGGAAAATGAACAAATAGTTGATGAAGATGACGTTGAACTGCCGAAGCGTTTGAACAAGCAGAGACGGCGGGCCATAGCAGTGGCCCATAGGGGAGGGAAGACTTTTTCCTCTAGAAATTCTTACAAAGACAAGGGTGGCAGGTCCTCTCAAAATTCTAAGATCCAGAAACAATTGGGCAGTTGGTGAAGTTTGTTAAGTATCATGAACAAATTCATATCAAAAGCCGTCAAGTCAAAATATTTATAGGAGAGGTCTATGATATATATATATATAAAAGATAGTTTCTTGTACCATATTTGTAACGAATGTCGGAGGCAAAGCTCCCTCATACCTGAAGGAAACAGGACAAAGTTGGAAAAGGGCAGGTTTTTGTAGTTATTGAATGGATTTCATGTTGTTGAGACATAAAGAAGCTTGGGATTCGGGAGAAATGGATGTTTATTAAATCTACTTCTGTCTTCCGAATTTTGAAACCTATATATTTATGTTAACTATTCTTGGGGATTCAGATTGTATGAATATTTACCTTTTGTTTGTCCCTAACATGTCCCATTGCATTGATTTTTAGTGGCTGTGCTGCATCTAATTTCTTGTTATCATCTGATGGCCCATCCAATATTTACCCTTTTTTTTTTTTGTGCTTCACGTTCTCTCAAAATGCTAACTTAAATTTTTGCAGTTGGGACCCTTTTTCTTGGTTTTTTGTTGATTCTGTGAAATATTTTTTCTATCTTACATGGCACTAGAAGCATATCCACACTCTTCCTTGGTGGTATGCAGAAGCCATTAATGTCAAAATCAGACATCAACGCAACAGCATTTATCAGCTGTATGATCAATCAGTGAGCACTAGCTTCAATTAAGTCATGTTTGGCAGCATGGAATTGGATGAATATTATTTAACTTCTTTTTGTTCAATTCCAAAGTGCCAATTCCACGCTCCCAAGCACTACGTTACTCTAATTTTGTAAGGTCTCCAAAAATGAGCTACTAGAAATCAGTAAGTAGCTAGGCAAGGGAGAAAACTATATAAGAAGCTAGTAACCAGAAAATGTAATACTCTATAAAGCATTGACTTTTGTATAACCTTTGTTCAGTACTGTAAAAGAATGTAGTACTTTTCGCCACCATCAAATACTATATAAGAAATGATTCATAAGAAAATGTGATATAAGCACACATTTGTCAAACCAGTGCGTGCATGCAGCCGAATGTGAAGTGTAGTGAAAATGAACAAAAGAGAGATCCCTTCAGTCGAATGTCAGCATCTTTTCTATGTGATATGATCCACAGTTCACCATCTTGTGAATGAAGGACAAGCTAACGCCTCAGGGTCTCCTTTATGCCGTCTGCATAGAGATCCCTTAAGAATAGAGGTAAAAATTACACAATAAGATTATCGCCATAATTCAAGCAAGTATTGTTGCTACTAAACAAATTCACGAGTTCAAGAAATTCAATCAAGTGAAACAGAAACACCGAGGATGGTTGACAACGGTGCATATTACCAGAATGACTTTTGTTTGACTTGGTCAGTATGTAGTACTTTTTCTTTTTTTTTTCTTTTTTTTTTTTTTCTAGTCGGTACTCAACACACACTTGTTTCTTCTGAGACTTGAACCTCTAGGCCACTAGCCCATTGGTCAGTATGTTCAATATAGGAGGGACATGCATTTGATTTTGCTTACATTGAATGCTGAATTGCTTCATAGGCTTTTGAGGCTGGCAGAAAATCCTCTACTGCAACTTCCTTCTTCTCATTTTTCTTGTCTGGTTATTTGTTAAGAGGAAACAAATTTATAAAAAATGAAGCATGCACAATGAGATATGACTATAGACATCATGCAGAGTCATGCTCAATAGGAATAAAGAACTTCTAGAGGATACAGTCTTCAAAGAACTGGCGGATCTCGGCCAAACGATGTGGAGGAAGCTCCTTGATATCAGTGTAGTGTCGATACTCAGGATCATCAGCACATACTGCAATGATTTTGTCATCTTTTTCTCCCTGTAGTCTTATGGACGTTACAACTAGTTCAAGGGTAGAAAGAAAATCATATTTTTGTCATGGCATATATACCTGATCAATCATCGGCATTAGGCCTATTGCTTTAGCCCTAAGAAAGCATCCTGGAAGAACTGGTTCCTGTACACATTTATAAGGTCTTAGAAGTAGCAGCAGCAGAAATTCCCTTAACAACTAGCATTATGTTACAAAAAAATAGATTCTGGGATGTGTGGATCATCTAAAAGATGGCCAGATCACTATAATCTCAATAATTCATAATGCTCAGTTGTTGGATCACAAACTACACAATACATACGGTGTTTATCCGGTGAAATCCTAAAGAAACTTAAGAGTGCAACCTTTTTTTACTCAAAACTCTACACTTGAAAACCCAATCTGATTAGAACCCATTACAAGGTAAAATGGTGTGTTATTTTCTCAGGGGAGTTTCCACTTTTCTTTTGCTACTTTATCTTTACATTCCAAGTTTCAGTAATTTTATTAGTATATCTCGAGTTTTTTCATGCTCATTGCTAAATTAGATGGGTTGAGGCCTTTGGGTTCATCCATTAGCCAAAGAAGTAGAATAAACATAACATGAAATTGACACGAAGTCCACTACCTCTCTCTTAAGTCCATGATTCTCAAGTGAACAGTAAATATGGTCAGACAATACATACATATATATCCCCAAAGGTTAAAACCATGTATTGTAATAGTTGCAGATTTCAAGCTATATGTGAGGCAATCCCTGCCAGATTTAGGTTGTAGTGATTTTCAAAATAATTCAGTGCCCCCCTTACAATAAGCATTACAGGTAGGGGTGAATAAGCTAGAACATGCAAATATCTAAGAAAAGAAAATCAAATAGCATACCTGCATGATAACCAAGACATCCATGGGGTCACTGTCTTCACATAGAGTACGGGGAATAAAGCCATAGTTGTGAGGGTACACAACAGATGAGTAAAGCACACGGTCAACCTGCATTTGTGAATAGATTTTAGCAAATGAATCAACATAGACGACAAAGAAAAGAGCGATTGGTATGCTTGATTACCATGATCAGTCCAGTCTCTTTGTCAAGTTCATACTTCACCTTACTCCCCTTACTGATTTCAATCACCTGTAGAATTAATGGCTTTTATACTAAGGCATTGGTCAAGTGAGAAAGCTAGATGCTTGATGGTTTTATTCATGAACATTTTGTATATACCAACATTCTCCTGCGAAAATAAAACTCAACAAGAACAACTCTAATGCTGGAACAGTTTTATTTGTGCGAAACAGGACCCCAATGAAACTTGTTAAGAAAGAGTTTATCAATGAATTAAATTCATATTCATGGTATATAAATTTGATTTAAAGACAATACATCAAACTCTGCTTCTAGAAAACAAAATTAGAGAATTTTTTTTGCCTAGTATGATCAAATATGTCACGTCAGTTTGTGCATTGTTGGTATCAGAGAATAAAAAATATTATAGTCCCTGCATACCAATTAATATAGAAGGACCAGAAAATTTTATTACCATCTACACATACTAGGGGCAGTGTGATAGCAATTATCCATTACCAGTTGCATCAAATTTCTATAGTCACTAAAGCCCATCAACAGTAAAAATTCCTTTTGTCTACACAATATATATTCATGCAAACTAAAATCAACTATCAACATCCTGTATGAAGTTCAGGATCCTTACACAGTTGAAAACCGTTGGAGCATCCGGCCCTGCAATGAATTAATTCAGTTACAAACCAGAAGGATATTATATCAATCAATAGGAAGGCAGATGCCAGAAATTTCATTTTTTTTTTTTTTTTTTTTTTTTTTTTTTTTTTTTCTGGCAAATGATGAACCCACCCATTTTGCCCCTATGATACACTCTAGAATTAACTACTAAAGCATTACAACTAAATCTGAGTACCTATCTGAAGATCATGCCAAGGATGCGCAGCAACTGATCTCCTGGACAAGGATGAAAGTGTCCTTTCATTAAGAGGTAGATGTGAAGGTTGACGAGAGATGGGAGCTTTAATTAGAGTCTCAGTAAGTGGAGGCATAGTTGCAAGCTGCAAGTGCAATAAATAGTAAGTTAAAAACAAGCCCCTTTACTAGATTAGAACCAGTGATGGATTATCTGGTAATTATTGAGAAAGATTATCAAATGAAGTGCAACAACAACATCCAAGTACCAGGGATGAATTATCTGGAAATAATTGAGAAAGATTATCAAATAAAGTGCTACAACAACAATTATTGAGAAAGATTAGCAAAGCATATGGTTCATATACAATAGAAATTCAAAACAGAGACTGTGAAAACACAAAATGTCAGATCAAATCTTTCAACAACACAAATAAATTTCTGGCTTTCAAGCCATGTAAATCACCTAAATAACATTCACCACTTCACATGTCCCATTCAACGTCATGCCGCTCTAGCACAAATTTCTCTCACGCATCACACATTAGAACATTTAACATACAAGTACAATGCTAAATCGTGCATTTGAAAAATGCAAGAGAAAATTTGCATTTCACTTTTTAAAGATTACAACTGTAAGAATCTGAAATATCTCTTCCAAAACACAGAAGGCACACACACTCAGAAATTAACATTGACACATACAAACATATCAGTTGGGATGAGAGGGCACATTGAATTAGGTATAGGATAAAGGCTGGCCAAAATCCTTTAGGATATGTTTGAATAAAAGATGCATCATTTGAAATCTTTGTTCTTATCAACCAATACGAATGTGCGTAATTAAAACCTTTTCTCTTCAATAAGTATGCAATAATTTCTAAAGGATGGCCAATTGGAGCACACTGAGAATTTGTAATGTTTTCAACTACTTAATCAACACTTTTAAAGCATCCATACAGCGAAGCCAACTGAAAAACGTTCCAATAAGTTCTGAACATGAAAACAAACAATGAGGCTTCAATCACATTAACACATTTTTTCCGCTTCAATTTCATTCTTTTGTAGAAACCAAATCGTGTGTGATTAAAACAAATACAGATCGTTCAATAAAAAATGAACAGAATCAAGTTGCGAATCTAATAAAATCACCAGAAAACAGATGATCTATGAACACTTGCATAATTGCAGTTGTAATTTCCACAAAAATAACCATTGATTCAACTGATCATCGAGTTGAACATGAAAATATGAAACTCACCACAACATATATAAACTTATATATGCATATAAATTCAAATGTATATGCGTGTGGGTATGTGTTCGTACACACACATATAGTAAATGTATTATGAAATAAAAACGTCAAAACGGAGAAGAGGAACTTCAAATAAACACCCTAATAAAGAAAAATAACGATCTAACAAACAAAAACGTATTTGAAATGTACCTGAAATGATAAAAATTCTAACAAAGTCGAACGAAGGCTCTTCCTCAAAACGAAGATTCAAAAGGAAATTTCAGATCTCGAGAAGAGGGAGAGAGAGAGAGTAACAACGAAGGCAATGATGGAAGCTTAATTAGCTGTACCGACTTCCCGCTCTTTTTCCACTTTCCACTTTGCCATTTAAAAGTGAAAAAGGAAAGTTCTTACGTTTCTCTCTCTCTATCTGCAAAGAAGTGTGTGGAAGACTCGAAGCAAGTATGACGTGGATACAGCTGTTCAACTAAGTGAAACGTGCTGAAAATTGATTGGTTTTCCGGACAGTGATTGGAGAACTACAATGTTAATACTTGTATCCAATTTTGACGACGGCGACAGAATAACAACAGCTATTCAATTTTCAGTCATGATTTGTTAGGGTGGTCGTGGTTGTAATTTTGAAAATAATTCTTTTATAATTAAAAAATTAAAAATTATTTTTATTAAATTATAAAAGTTAGTTATCTGAAAATAAGTATTTTTTTATAACTAAATTGAACAAAGCAAAATTTTTGTACATTTTTTTAATTCTTAATTATCTGAAAACAAAAAATTATTTTCTAAATGACCAACTAAATAGACAAACTCTAATGTTTTCGGAAAGTTGAATCAAGACATCATGATTACCATAAATGTGTGATTGCACACACTTGTATATGCAGTGAATATTATAATATTGTTGTTGTATCACACTGAATCTCAACACCTATCGCAGCACGCAGTTGGTGTCATATTGAGATTATCTTAAGATAGAATTAGGGGAAAATAAATGCAATTATGCCATATGATTATGTATTTCTGTGTTAAAATGGTTAACTGAGATGCATTGTGTTGAGAGCACACATTGTAAGAATTGCTATTTAAGTTTGACAATTTGGTTTTTATGCGATCTTTTATTGAATGATAAAATGCATGTCTCAATTATTTATATGAGATTAAAATTAAAATAAAGAATTGTGTTCTCTTTTGTACGTGATGGGTTAACGATCAATCATTCCTCACTATAGAATTATATATGGTGGCACTTTTGGTGCCTTAAATTGGGGTTGATGGCCTTTCAATTATGATAAAAATAATGGGCCTCTTTTCTTAAGCCCATGATTAATTTATGATGATCGCACGTATCACCCAACGTGGGTTTCTATATAGGAAAGAGAATATGACCTAACGCACAAATTGTAATCAACTTGTATAAACGCGCATGGAAACACTAAAAATTGTAGCTAGTAAGTAGACATGGATACCCCTCTTGCGTGGGGATCCGGTTGGTGTCGTTGGAGTGAACTAGTGTAAAGTCTATTGTGCCCAACACGAGGCCCGCGTTAGGCTCTGCAACTTACCCGAAGAACACCAAAACAATGTCGGTTGGTGCACCGGATGCACCACGTATCTCCTCGAACATGAGGGGATCTTCTTCCAATAATAATAAAAAATTCACTCAAGCCACTTTGATGATATGGTACTTATATATTTTTTTTCTTTCTCTATTCCTTAGAACTTATTTTTACTCATTTTTCAATATTTAATTTAATTATGTTAATAAGAAGGTAATGGACTCGAGTCACTTGATTAATACAGCAAGGCTGTCCAGATCTTTTAAATGACATTGTTTTCAAACCGTATGATAAATTAATGTTGTTGCTAACACCTCATATAATCAAAGACATATATAAAAACGAATAATGTTGGTGGCATGAAGTCCCCCAATCGATCCCTTCTAGGATCACCTATCAGATCTCAACAAACTATTTATCAATCAAAATTGTACTAAAAAAAAAAAAAAAAATCAAAATTGCACCCACGAAATCGACAATTAAAAACAATACTAGTGTCCCGGTCATTTAAGGTGAGAAAAAAATATAATAAAGAAGTGCATTAATCAAAGAGGGAGGATGAACCGTCACCAATTTTGAGGGTTTGGGGAGGTATGTGTTATTTGTCAAGAAAAAAGAAAATAATTTGATATTTATATATAGGCAAAAGAGTTCAACTGCTTCCAGATTTTTTTCTCAATTCGAGTTAGCCATATAGCTAGACATGGCAATGAGGTCGCTAATGCAGTTGCAAAATTATCATTTCCATGTGGATATTCTCTTTCTAGCGGAGCGCGACATGGATAGTTGTAGGAGTTTATCCTCTCTTTAATGTTGTGTTTTTTTTTTCAGTTGTTTGTTTGCCAGGGAAAAAAAAAAAAGAAAAAAAACCCTAAATTATACCATTATTGCATAATGCCCCCTAAACTATTTTTTGGAACAACTCAGCCCTTTAAATGTAGTAATGTTGCATATTGCCCCTTGACAACAATTTTCAGCCACAAGAGACTAATTTCAGACCAACAGACATATACAATTACTAATTTACTGCTTATTAATTTATTATAAAAGATATAAAGTATCATGATGTAAAATTCCAATAATGCCCTCAGATTTTTTATATTTTTCTTCCTTGCCCCCACTACTTCAACTTGTTGAGGAGCCGCTTGTTCTGATTCTGATTCTATATTAAATCAACTATGGACTAAGAATCACTCTAGCTTCTAAAGTCAAATAAAGTTCACAATATAATCACACTAATTAAGTGTAAATTAAACAAATAAAAAATGATAATGACTGATTGAAACCGTTCCTTATTTATTACACTACTATAGTAGATGTAAAAGTATGATTTCCTATTGATTCTATTTTGACAAATTATACTTCTAATTGGCATATGCAAATTTGCTTGAACACTTGTAGTAAATTATCTAACCGAATAATTTTTAATTGACTATTTATATCAAATACAACTAAGTAGAAAACTTCACTTCCTTATTTGTTGAATAATTGACCAGAGTAGGTCTAACAATTCATAATAATTATATTTCTCCAACTGTTTTGACGGATTCTCATTCTCACATCCTTTGGTAAGTAAATTGAGTAGCCAATTTAAAGTTTTGGTTTCCTTAAAGAGGAGGTGGATGAAAATCCATAATCCATTAAGAGAAAATGGGCCGGTAGAGAAAGAGAGGAGAGATAATCCATTTGGCCGAAATTGATGAAGCTTTCGGGTAGCAAATGAATTCTTTTTAGGGAGGGAGTATAACAGTCATAATGAAGGGCATTTTCGCCATTAATTGAAAAACCAAAGGCACCTGACCTCTGATTGCCATAAAGTGTTTTCCAAGGGGCGATATGCAACATTTATATAGTTGAAGGGCTGAATTGCACCAAAAAAATAGTTTAGGGGGACATTATGCAACAATGGTATAATTTAGGAGATTTTTTTTTGCTCTTTTGCCTTTGTTCTAAAAAATCGTCTTGTTTGTGAAAGCACATAATCTTCTTACATAAGCAAATTTGAATTACAAAAGATCATATTTTAATTTACACTTTCTTTCACTTTAATTTCACCCTTGAACTAAAATTTAATAAAAACTTTTACGTAGTAAAAAGGTAAAATACTAGGGCTGCAACTCGGACTGGCCAGCCCGAATTTACCCGAGCCCAGCCAAAAATTTTCAGGGCTTGGGCAATGTTTTTTTGTTCTAGGTCTGGGCTAGATATTATGAGCCCGAAGTAAATTCAGGCTGGGCTTGAATTGATATTTTATAAAGCCTGAAGCATAGCCCGAGCCTGAAAAGGGTATATTTATTTTAAAACTATGTTATTTCACAAGTGTGAAAGTGTAAAATAGCTTAGTTGGTAGTTTGCTTGAATTTTTTTTTGGAGGAATGCTGGTCGAGTCTTCGTAATTGCACAAATTTCTTATTTTTTACATTCTGAATACAGAAGCATGGGCTCATGGGCGGGCTTGGGCAGGAGAAGTTAATTATGGGCTGGGCTTGGGTGGCTGGTATTGGGCTCTAGGTGGGCTTGGGCAAAAGATTTTGTACATGGACTGAGCCCGAATTAAGTCTCTAACCCGCCCGAGTTGCAGCCCTATAAAATACTACTACCTTGTAATATTTGAATCAACAAAAGAGACCTATCTAATCATGCTAAAAGAAAGAAATTATTTGGCATTAGAAATTCCTTAAACAGCCCTTCCTTATCGTGGTATGACATCACCTATTCTTTTCAGATTCTGTTAATGATAGCAGACACAGAGGTTCTCATACCATGGTGATATTCCTATGTGGTACACAAATGTTCTAAATTATTAGATAAATCCACTAAACATAATGCATTTCTGTTGGGATTCTTGTAAAGTGGTGACTCATACGCGCAATTGGTATTGGAGAGAAAATAGATTGTGTTGGATTTTGACATGCGTTGTTCACTGCACATTCACATTCACATAGTCCCTTTAGGAAAAATCATACTATGTGAACTAATGTCTATTGGTCTCTTAAGTTTCAACTTACTACAAATAATAGTCTTACCGCCACAGGATAACCAGCTGGTGTACATAATCCAAGAGAGAGAAACGGAATTCCATTTTAATGTCCTTGCGTGCAGTGATGTAGTAATTTGCATTATAACATTCTATCCAGAAAAGAGGATGTGTTTCATCAAAGTTACATTAAGATTGAATTTCAAAAGCATCATTTAATCTCTCAACTTTATGGAGAACAAGCGAAAGTTCCAAGAGAATCAAATATAGCATAAGAGTGATTTAACAAAAACCAAAGAACCCAAGCCTATTCACAGTTGTGTAAAATGAGAAAAGAATTAAAAACTTACCTTTTTTCTTTTTCATCATGGGCTTTCTTTTTTAAAGGTAGATCTCATAGGATGACTTACATTCTCCAAATGCCACTCATGCATACTGACTGCCCTGTATGAATATTAACCCTGCTATGCCCTAGCTAATTTAAGGTATATCCCAGAGGCTCACTAGCATGCTACAACCATTACTCGTACTACTGCCCTATATAAATCCTATGTAAAACATCTGTGAAAGCAACAACACCACATTGAAAACATGCACCACATAAATAGAAAAACTCCTACATCTTTATCCAACCAAAAAGGAGATTGGCAGCCAAAGATTGAATATACATTTTGTTGGTCCAACCATTACACCTTCCTAAATAAATTAATCCATCATAAATGGGAGGAATCTATGAGTTTAAACACGTGTTGTGCCACGCTCTCACACAACTAGACAAGCTTAACTCCATTTGTTTACAGAATTGCAATCAAGTCCATATCAAATTTCTATAGAAACACTTCCATGCACGACAAGTTATTCCACTAGCACTACTACAATGGTCACTCAGGTTACGTATATAAGCAAGGAGACAGCAGCACAACAATTTTAAAGGTGCTAAGTGGATTTCCAAATTGAAGGTGGGGTGACTAGACCCTAGTGCCAAAGCATAAAGCGCAAGAGAACAAACACTGTATAAAATGACTTAGTGGGATTTGGGTGCCTAGTGCTTTTGACCATTGTCTTGGAATCAAGTAATAATACACAAAGGGATCCTTGTTCATCAAATATCATGTCACCCTCAATGATGGCATTAATGAAAACATGATACAAAAACTCTTGCTACAGTCTTTTTACAACCATTTGTTAGCAAAAAAAAAAATTACGAAGTTATTTTGTGTCAACAAAGCTTACCGAGGACCTGGGCTCGGATGCAACTCTATTTTAGCTCAAGACCACAAGTCTAGCAGCTGAATATGCAAAGGCTAAAATGATTTGCCACAGTAATCCAAACCTGCATATGCATTAAATATGTTAAAAGGAATCTCTATATGGTCTTCAATAATTTCAATCTACATAAATATAAAAGGGCTTCCTAAAAGAACTTTTTGAGATAACAAAAAGCAACTCCATCAGGCAGTATTCATCAGTTGAACAAATGTAGCAAATAAAGCAAAAAGGTGGTAATATTTAGCAAATAAAAGCTTTCTTAAGGTGGAGCACTCAACAGGTTCAACTGATCAAATACATCTAGTCTTGTGTTAGGTAACAAGGCCTTTTAAGTACCAAGGGCTCTTAAGTAATATTTAGTTTTAATGCGCAGGTGGGATCCCCAGTTTTGAAAGTGTGTTGAAGAGGACTTGACATAATAACAATTTTTTATAAACAAGGACATAGCTACCATTATAAATTCTTGCGAGTCTCATTCATGAATATATTTCCCTTCTATCATTGAAGTCGTCCAGAAAGCAAGTAGTGAGTGGCAGTGAGAGATGAGAGACCAAGTATTAAGTCAGGATACAGGTAAACTGTTGAATAGGGCGAAGCCTTTCCTTGCTGTCGTTTTCTTGCAATTTGGTCTTGCAGGGATGGACATCCTTTCTAAGGTTGCTCTGAATGAGGGGATGAGCAATTATGTATTCGTTGTCTACCGCCATGCAATTGCCACCATTGTCATGGCCCCTTTTGCAATCATTCTGGACAAGTCTCTCTCTCACTGTGTGTGTGTGTGTGTGTTTGTGTGTTTGTTTGTTTGTTCTCATTTTCTTCTTTAATAATTCTGGTAGAAGTGCTAACAACTGCTGAATGAATTCTCAACAGGAAAATAAGACCAAGGATGACTTTCTCAATCTTAGCCAAAGTAATGCTGCTCGGCTTACTGGAGTAATTATCTAAAACACGAAACACATTTTTCCTTGTAATCTCTCATGAAAGCATGCAACAACATCTAACCAGCTTCTATATCTCTCACCTGGCAGACCAGTAATTGACCAGAACCTGTACTTCATGGGGATGAAATACACCACAGCAACATTTGCAGCTGCCATGTGCAACATTCTTCCGGCCATAACCTTTCTGATGGCTTGCATCTTTAGGTGATCAATATGCACATCACCTTATCAACACTCTAGCATAATAGCTTCTCTAAGGGTGGAAGTGAAAAGTCAAACACATTCAACACAGCCGCACAAACACACAACCAAGTACTGGTTTTCCTGAAACATGTCTGATATGTTATTTTTTGTCTGGAAAATTGTCAATTTGTTTGTCTTAGGCTTGAGAAGGTAAAATTCAACAGCATCCGCAGCCAAGCTAAGATAGTCGGAACTGTAGCCACAGTTGCAGGAGCAATGATCATGACGCTAGTAAAAGGCCCACTTCTAGAGCTGTTTTGGACGCGCGAAAGAAGCAATCATGAACTCAGAAATGGTGGTATAAATCTTCAACATTCAATTAAGGGTTCCCTCATGATCACAGTCGGATGCTTCAGCTGGGCTTTCTTCATGGTTCTGCAAGTAAATAACTGAATAGACTCCTAATCATGGAAAATTAATTACTCTCCTAGATCATAATAACCTTTGTTCTGTTTCTGTAGGCAATCACGCTAAAGACATATCCCGCTGAGCTTTCACTCACTGCATGGATATGCTTTTTTGGAACAGCTGAGGGAGCCATAGTGGCACTAGTAATGGAGCGGGGAAAATCCAACATTTGGTCTATAAACTGGGATACTAAATTACTGGCAGCTCTCTACAGTGTAAGAACAAATTGATTGAATACTTGTTCAAACCATTTCGGCTAAAATATCACAATCCAATTTTGAGATGTTTTCCTAAGCCCCACCCCGTCATATTTCTCTGAATCAACACATCTCCATTCTAAAGACTGCAAATCATAGTGATCCCTTTAAGGCATCCGTTCACTGAGTGACAATTGATATTTCTCAACTAAACCAGGGCATGGAAATCTTCTCTTCCTAAATTAAAATGCTAAAATTAGTATAGACAAGAATGTTTCTCCACAAACAAGGGACAGATTTCAATTCTTAACATGGAAAACCAGATCTTTCACCATATATAGTATATGAACAGCTCTTTGCTTTGAAATGTATATATGCAGGGAATAGTTTGTTCAGGCCTTGCTTATTACATTCAAGGAGTAATAATGAAAGACAGGGGCCCTGTTTTTGTTACTGCTTTCAATCCGTTAAGCATGATCATCGTAGCTGTCTTGAGCTCCTTTATTTTGGCTGAGCAACTGTACATGGGAAGGTAACTCTAAAAGCTCTCTCCTGAACCACAAACATACACCTAAAAGAAAATAAACTAGCTAACACAGTATTATTACAGAGTAATTGGCGCCATTGTCATAGTAGCAGGACTATACCTTGTTGTCTGGGGAAAAAGCAAGGATTACAAGTCCTCATCCCCATCAATTGATGAGCAAGCAACACAAGATAAGCAAACGATGGATGCAGGCACCAATGGAGAGAAAGATTCTTATCATGAGATCATCACCGTCAACCCATCTAGCAAAGGAATTGCAAACAGAGATGAAACAAATTTATGCTAAAATGAATCACATGACAGGGTAGCTTTCAAGTTCTAATGAGGGATCAACTTCCCTGCACTTCCATAACTTAAAAGAAACAAAAGCAGTAATGGACCTCACATTACTGTGGCATCCTTCTTTCAAAACGTGATGTTTATTGCTGGTAGTTTTTAAATACAGGGCGTTAATTCGGATAGGATGCAAGAAAATGATTATGTCATGGTGCAAAATCCAATGAGTTGTTAATTTGAAGTCCACCTTATGATCAAATTGATTATGATATAAGCTAAATTTGTTTTGATCTTAGAAATGACAGACATTTTGTCAACCAAATATTGACTAAAAATTTGCAAGTTCTCAATCAGATTCTCTGACATAGGCATCCAACTTATTACAGTTCGGTAACGCTTGTTTTATTTGCTAATTTAAACAAAAGAATAATTGATGCAGGACCAGTATAAGGACCACTCTCTCACTAGCAATGTTACAACAAGTTAATGTAGGGCCAGTGATAAAGAGGGGGGCTGATTATAATTGATTATCTGTGGCTAAAGGCTAGTGGATTTATGGGTATTCTATGGCTTAAACTACTGGAGACTTATTTTTTTTATTTTGTAAGTTACTGGAGGCTTAAATTAGGCAATGAAGAAAAAAAAAACTTTGGGGACTGTTTTGGGTGGTCAACAGTAACCATAACAAACCAAGGTATACTCTTGAAAGAGCTGAGCTTGAATAATTGAAGATGGAAAGGTTGGGGGCTCGTTCAGTTCGATCTTTACAGGTCAAAAAAGGGGTAGGACCATAGGACAGATCTGGTTATGCCTTTTAAAAGTTTTAAAAAGCATAGAAATTGATGAAGAAACTGTTACTTTTAGCCATTACACCTAGTCCTGTAAAATTCCACTAAAACTTGTTTTCAATAGCATGGAAGCATCACATAACTACATATAGACTTTACATATAACTTGCAGCTGAAGGTAATCACAACTCTAACATAACTTCATATTGATATTTTGACTGCTAGAACTTATATAAATCTACCAAAAAAACAAATAACTTGCAGCTGCAGGTAATCCCAACTCTAACATAACTTCATATTGATATTTTGACTGGTAAAACTTATATAAATCTACCAAAAAAGACCATACAAAGAATTAGGGACAAAAAAAAAAAAAAAACAATACAAAGAGGCTCAATACCATAACTTGAACGGAGTATGACCCGCGGACCACTAGTATATCCTATTTCCAGCAAAACTTAAAATTACCAAAATATCCTTTACACCTAAAAGAGAGCCATTGCCTGATTGAGTGGTTTAATGCTTGAACACTAGTGCCATTAGTGTGAGTTCGAGCCTCAGAGCAGCATCTTATAACAGCCCTGACATGGGAATTCCTGAAATTTTCCAATTCAGCACTAGCAAAAAAAATTTACAAACCCATACTTATCAACACCTCATAACAGGGACAGGTACAAGAGTTAGCAGTTCAAGTATCCAAGTTATTAGGTTTTGATGTAGCATCATATGGCTTCATATAAAAATTAGCTAACAAATTCGGCTTGAAACATCACCCCAACTGCTTAGCAGCCTTTCAATGGTGTTTTCAAAGGGATTCAACATTCAAGAACCTTATTGCCTGTAGATTCAATTGGCTAAAGCTTTTGGTAGTAGAGATGCGGCCAGAGTCCACTACTCCGATCAGTCACCGGAGTCATAAACTCCGGTGAAATCCTCTGTTATTTTCCTTGACGTTTCTCTTTTTCCGTTGGTTTCGGTGTTTGCAGTGATTCGGGGTTGTTTTTGTTGCTTTCATGAGAGCTCTCGATGGTCAGAGGCCGTCTTTTCTGGAGGTCGCTAGTATTCCTTGTCTGGATTTGAAAGGCGAAGTAGAGTGCTTCTCTTCTTCCGGTGATTTTGTTTTTTCGATGGACAATCACAACACGTCTTCTCGCGAGCGTACGCTTAGGGCATGTCTTGTTAGGAGATTTGATAGGGAGGTGGGGTTTCTCGAAAACATTAAAGATTGGGCTACGAGGGTTTGGTCGATTTCGGCTGGCGTAGGGTTTCTTTTTTGCCCGATGGGCTTTTGCTGTTTTGCTTCCCGTCGGTCATGGAGGCTGTGAAGGTTCTCGACTACGGAAAGAAAACATGGGGAGATGCACAGTTGTTCATTGACTACTGGTACTTCAGGGTTGGGTGCTCTGGGTTGAAAAAGAAGTTTAAATGCCGGAGAATCATTGTTTATGGCCTTCCTCTCCACCTTGGTGCCAGAAACTCTTCGTTGCTGTTGGGGATCTTTGTGGTGGATTCCGGGACGTCGAGGCGTTTGAGATAAGCGATACGGAGAGGATCGTCATCACTGTGAATTAAGGTGGTGTGATCCCGGAGTCCATTATCGTGGAGGGCAGTCAGCGAGCCTTTCGCATCTCTCTCACAAAGGAAATCGCCCTTTCTCTTGAGCCGATTTCCAAGTTTCGTGCCGGATCTAATGTTCTCAATCCTTTGGAGGTGACGGATAGGGGGGCTCGTTCGTCTCACAGATCAGATATCAGAGGTGGGCGTGAACCGGAGATTTACAGTAAGGTTATGCAAAGTCACCGGAAGAAAGGTCAAGGACGAGTGCAGTTCCACGCGCCGGAGGCGAGTGGGAAGGAGCGCCTGGTCAGAGGGACACGTGGTTGGAGAACGGTTCCCCCCCGTTGTGGGTGGAAGCCAGCTAAGGGCACACATGACTTGGCACGTGAGGCGGTTGGGATTTTGAATACCTCTTCTGATGGGCTAGATACGAAAGGGCATACCCAACATAGGCCTGCGCAGGTTGCTTTGAGGACTGGTGGCAAGGTTAGGCATTTTACGCCCAATTTGGCTGGGTTTCAACTTCTTCTGGATCTGGACTTGAAGGTTCGCGGGCATGAACAGGGCTGGACAGGTTAAGCCCATCTTTAAGCCCTTATTTCTTCTCGGTCTTCTCTTACCAAGCCCACTCACTTCATTTCTAGAGACGTTTTCTGGGGCCAAATAGAAGCCTTTCTATTTCTATTAATGGGTTGCAGCCCAGCCCAGCCCACCTTCTGGAATGGCTTTTAGAGGCGATTCTCACAAACAACCAAAGGATGATGCGAGACACTGGTCTCAGGCAGAAAAGGAGAATTGGGTTACTGTGAGTTCGAACATGACGAAGGGTTTTGGACCGAGATCGAAGATGCTCAGGCATGGTGCGTGTTGTCAGAATCTGCTGTCTGGTAACAGGTTTGGGTTCCTCCAGTCGAGCTCTTTTTGTGAGGATGAGCCTCGTAGTTGTGACTCCATCAAGGATGATGTTTCGAGTTGGTCAAACAAGTCCGGGAGAAGATGGTCCAGAAAGGACAAACAAAAATAGGTCGCCCGTAACGTGCCTCCTGAACCGGGTAAGTTCCCTCCTCCTTGTTCTCGAAGGTCCATCTTTTCTCATTCTTCTCTCTCTTCTCCTTCTTGTGGGTTGAGGAGGAACGAGGTGGGGAATGATCTTGTTGGCAAGTCACGGATGCTCTCACCAGTGGTTGAGGTGGGTAATGAGACTGTGGACACGGATGATTTGGGGTGTGGGATTTTTAGACCGTTAGAAAGGGATGGAACGGTCGGTTTGTTTGTGGATGGTGGTTCGGATCGTGCCAGTGAAAGGCCGGAGGATTCTTGTTCGGATTTTTCCTCTTCTTCTCATCAGATGGTTACGTTTGGGTTTGAGGTGGGTGGGCTGGTCAAGCCTCAAATGGATTTGTGTCTTCCTAAGGGGGATGAACTAGCGCCATCTCAGAAAATTAGTGAGCCAGATTTGATGAATGTTTGAGTGGGAAAGGATATTCGTATCATTCTCAATAAGGAATTAGCCTCTTTGTTGGTGAAGGAACTACAGAAACATAGGCGCCTGACTGATGTGCCTTCGTGTGATTCAGCCCTTTTTTCTGAGGTTCATGACAGTGGGGTGGACAGTGTTGTTGACTGGGAGACCTGTGTGGATGTGGTTGAGGAGGGTGAGAGAGGGGAGGTTGATGGGAATCGGGAGGAACAGGAATGGTCCTTGGATATGATCCTGTGGGAGGAGGAGAGCTACTCAGATTTGGGGCTTGTTGACCCCTGGCAGTTGTTCATCCAGAGGGGATGGCCAGTGCCCTTGATCAGAAGGAGTGTGAAGACGTTGGCAAGGACTGGGTTTTGAATAACATCGAGGCCACAAGTGATTTGCTGGGTGTTTCTTGTAAAGGCAATCAAGAGCAGGCCTTAGCTATTCTTCAGGCTACGGTGGAGGGGAGAGAAGGGGAGATGATTTAGTTTTCTAGAAGGAGGATCAGTAGAAAGAAGATTCATCCCTCTTGGAGAGAGGAGAGGGAGGTGCGTAATCTCTATTGTGATGTGAAGTTTGAGGGGAATCTTGTGGGGGAGAAGGAGAAGGGAGTGATAAGGAGGGAGGGAAGGGTAGGGGGGAGAAGGGAGCTGTTGTTTTTCCATAAAACTACGACTTTTATCCTTTAATGTCTGTGGCCTCAATGACCCGAGCAAGAGAAAGGTGGTGAAGATGGCTGTGAGGAAATGGGTGTTTCATTTGGTGTGTCTCCAAGAAACGAAGATTAATTCTATAACTGATAGAGTTGTTAAGAGTCTTTGGGGTAGTAAGTTCGTTGAATGGGGACGCTGGATTCAGTGGGGGCTTCTGGAGGCATTCTTCTAATGTGGGATAGGAGATGGATGGATAAAGTAGATGTTTGTAGGGGGCTCTTCTCTTTGTCTTGTGCATTTGTGTTGGAAGAAGATGGCTTCCCTTGCGCTTTCTCTGGTGTCTATTGGCCTGTAGATGACTGTGAGAGACCTGTGTTATGGGAGGAGCTTTATGGGGTTCACGAGATGTGGTCTCTTCTATGGTGTGTGGCAGATGACTTTAATGTGATTAGATCCCCGTTGGAGAGGTCTACAGGTGGTTCATGGACTCCGGCTTTGAGGCTATTTTCGGAGTTTATCGATGATCATCAGCTTATTGATCTCCCTTTGGAGGGAGCTGCTTTTACTTGGTCTAGTGGTAGGGAGATGCCTACTTTTTCACGCCTGGATAGATTTGATTTCCGGAGAGCAGTTTCTGGATGCAATTCAGGTTGTGTTGGCTAGGGTGATATCAGATCACATTCCTCTGGTTTGGATTATGGAGGTTTGAGTCCTCGTCGCACTTTGTTCAGATTTGAAAACATGTGGCTTAGAGCGGCGGATTTTCAGGGTTTAGTGCGGACTTAGTAGGAGGAGGACATGGTGGTGGGAACTTCGAGTTTTATTCTTGCAAGGAAGCTTCGTATTCTGAAGGATAAACTTAAAAAATGGAATAAGGAGGTGTTCGGTAATCTGGAGTGGAAGAAAAATAGGACTATCGCTGATATTGCAGAGTTTGATAGATTGGATGCGGCGGGAGGTCTTGAGGAGCCTCAACGTATTAGGAGAGCAGCTTGTAAGGCTGAATGTGCTGAGATTGCGTTGATGGAGGAGATCTCGTGGCGGCAGAAATCTCGGGCTTTGTGGCTAAAAGAAGGAGACCATAAGTTTTTTCACTGAACGACTAATGCCCATAGGAAGGGCAATCATATTGGTCAGATCCGAGTGGATGGATCACTGTTGGCTTCTGATGAGGAAGTGCGAACGGGGATTGTTTCTTTTTACCAGAGGTTGTATACTGAGCCTTTTCGCTGGAGGCCAAGAGTTGATGGTCTTCATTTCGATTCTATTTCAATGGAGGATAGGGATGGGTTGGAGAGATCATTTACGGAGGAGGAGGTCCTGGAGGCCTTAAAGAGTTGTAATGGTGATAAAGCTCCAGGTCCGGATGGTTTCACTATGAGTTTCCTCCTGGAAAGCTGGGAGGTGGTCAGACAGGAGATTATGGGCACTTTTCATGAGTTTCATTCCACTGGAAAGTTCGAAAAATCGTTGAATGCTTCTTTTATTGCTTTGATTCCTAAGAAGGGGGGAGCTTCTGACATTAAGGACTTTAGACCTATCAGTTTGATTGGGTGTTTGTATAAGCTCATCGCCAAAGTCATGGCCTCAAGATTGAGTGGGGTTTTAGACGAAGTCATTTCAGAGTCTCAGAATGCATTTATCGGGGGCAGACAGATTCTGGATTCCGCTCTTATTGCCAGTGAATGTGTGGATTTTAGGCTTCGTAGCGGGGCTCCCGGAGTTCTGTGTAAGCTAGACATCGAGAAAGCCTATGATCGTGTTTGCCGGAACTTCTTGTTCTATTTGCTTGAGAGGATGGGCTTCAGAGAGAGATGGAGGGGGTCAGATTTTTGGTGCTGGTTAATGGATCTCCTTCTGGGTTTTTTTGGCAGTTCTCGTGGTTTGAAGCAAGGGGACCCCCTCTCCCCTTTCTTGTTCATTATTGTTATGGAGGCTCTTAGCAGGCTGATGAGGAGGGTTGTGACCTTAGGGCTTATTCGGGGCTTCAAGATTGGTCTTGAGGCAGTCCATCAATTGGAGATTTCTCACTTACTGTTCGCGGATGACACTTTGGTTTTTTATGAGGCCGAGGTGTCCCAATTGAGATACCTAAGATGTGTTCTGGTTTGCTTTCAGGCTGTTTCTGGGTTGAGAATTAACGTGGGCAAGAGTGTGCTTATCCCTATGGGAGAGGTTCAGGAGGTGGCTTCTCTTGCAGCTGTTCTTAGATGTAGGACGAGTTCCTTCCCTATTTCTTATTTGGGTTTGCCCTTGGGCGTCTCCTCAAGAAGGGTGGGAAGCTGGGACCCGATTATTAAGCGCTTCGAGAGAAGGTTGGCTGGGTGGAAAAAACAATATCTTTCGAAGGGAGGAAAAGTTACGCTGGTGAAGAGTGTTTTGTCCAGCCTCCCAACTTATTTACTTTCTCTATTCCAGATTCCCCCTTCTGTTGTCAAGAGACTTGAGATGATTCAACGTAACTTCCTTTGGGGCGGTAGGGGGGGAGGAGTTTAAGTATCATCTTGTTCGGTGGAAGCAGGTTTGCAAGCCTCTTAAGTCAGGAGGCCTTGGGATTCGGAGATTGGCCCCTTTCAGCAGGGCCCTTCTTGGCAAGTGGCTTTGGAGGCTTGGGAATGAAAGACATAACTTTGGAGCAAGATCGTTGCTTGTCGGTTTGGGGAGGAGAGAGGGGGTTGGTTTGCTAGATCGGCTAGATCTACTTTCGGCGTGGGTGTGTGGCATTCCATTGGGAAGGGATGGGATGAGTTTTCTAAGCATATTAGATTCAGAGTTCAGGAAGGTCGGAATGCCCGATTTTGGAAGGATCCTTGGTGCGAGGAACGTCCATTGTGTCGACGATTTCCAAGATTGTTCAGGATTGCTGTGGATTGCCATGCTTTGGTTGCCGACTGCTATTGCCATAATAGCGGTAGGTTATCTTGGGATGTTCGGTTCTGGCGAGCCTTTCAGGATTGGGAGCTAGATGATGTCACTGGCTTATTGGACCTTCTGTATCGACAGGAGGTGGATGGCACTGGGGCGGACCTCTTGACTTGGGTGCCTTCTTCACAGGGGACTTTTCAAGTCCGGTCTTTCTTCTTTAGCCTTTCCGGTTTTCAGGCCTCCTCTTATCCATGGAAAACGGTTTGGCATTCGAAGGCTCCTCTTAGGGTGGCTTTTTTTGCTTGGACTACTGTTTGGGGTAAGATCCTGACTGTGGACAACTTGAGGAAGTGAAGACATGTCATTGTTAATCCGTGTTGTTTGTGTATGACCGATGGAGAGTCTATGGACCACCTTCTCTTGCATTGTCAGTGGCTCATGATTGTTGGAGCCTTATGTTGAGTCTTTTTGGCATTCAGTGGGTTATGCCTCGGACCTCACGGGGTCTTATTGATGTTTGGAGGGAGCAAAGGGTGGGGACTTGTGTTCGCGACTTTTGGAGGGCGACTCCCCTTTGCATTTGGTGGTGCCTCGAACGCAATAGAAGATCCTTTGTTAGGGAGGAGTTACCCATTGGGGCTCTTAAGTATTCTATTATTTGTTCTCTCTTCAGTTGGGGTATGGGGAGAGATTGTTCTTCTGTAAAGGAGTTTTTGGCGTCTTTGGATCCTTAGGTTTTCTATTTTCTTTTTGTTCTTGGTTCTTGTACAGCTCTTGGGACACGTTCTCCTCTTGAACGCTTTCTTATACAATTTTACTTATCAAAAAAAAAGAATTGGTGTTTTTAAAGGCAAAAATGTGAGGGGAGGATTTTTTCCCCAAGGCAGGAGTAAGCCTTTCAGTTTCTTGTTCTGGTACTGATACAGTGATATGTCAAAATAATTACACAAGTATCCTACTATTTGAGGTCCTAACAGTTCATTGGTTTAGGAGTCACGTGATCTCAAATTGTCCAAACTAAACTGAATTTAACTAAACCAAGCCACTGTGCAAAAATTGGGCATTAAACAACCCAATGTTCCAACTTAACCAGTGAAACGTTAGCTGAGTATGGGGTTTAACAAAACGAAATCAAGAAAACGCCACACAAAATCCAAATCCAACCAATTGCTACCCCTCAACGCACAAAGCACTGAATGATCGACCCCATAACATAATCATTCTCTAGTTTCGTACTGAATTTCCCACAACTTGAAAATCTTAATTCAATAAAAATTTAGACAACTGAAGAACAAAGCAAATTTTAGAAAGAAAATAAAAAATAATTCAAATTTTCTCAATCATCCAGGTGTTTCAGTCAACTATAAATGCATAAATTCTTTTGAATAATCAGAATACAGTCAACAACTAATAAATATGGTCACGCATTCTTAATAGGTCCTACCAACTGTGTGAGTACCTATTGAGACTTTACACTTAAAAATAATGGTACACTGATTTATTAAGCATGGGCAACACGAACTGGAAAAGAAATAGTCCACAGCAGACCATTACCCGTATTTTGTTTCTATTTTTTCCTTGGATAAAATCAACAGCAGATCATTACTTTCATACCAAAAAAGAACAACTTACCACAATAAGAAGTACACAGATTGAAATAAAGAAAAATGCAACGTTCTTCAGAGAGAAAACATAAATAAATTTATCAAAAAAAAAAAGAGAAAAAAGAAGATAAATACAAAGAAAAGAAGGTAAACCTTATTTTCATTTCATATGTCTTTTCTATAATTAATATTAATTTAATACTTCCTCTGGAACAATAAATACGTCCTTTTAACAACACAATTCTTTGAAGGGTTTCTTTTGGAATATAAAAATATGATATGCATTAAATGTATGTCCCTTAAGAGTTGCAACAACCCTCAAAAGGAACATTTGTTTTGGGGACGAAGGAGTATGTGATTTGGTTTACATTGGGGAATCATGATCCTAATAAATTAACAAAGATTGCATTCAACCAGTTCAGAACAAAATTCAGGGTTTAAATCAAATAAAATAAAATTATAGACACCAAATGGCATCCATCCAGTTATACACAGTTCAGGTTTTATAAGCTGTATGCAAAAGTGAATATAATTTGAAGAGAGATCAAAGATTAATCAGAAGAACCAGAAAGTGTGATTATCAGCATTTTTCATTTAATAAATGAAAAATGTCTTATTTTTCATTTTTGAGGAGTTAACAAAATATGAACGTACACAGATGACTAGCTTCTAATGTTCTTTCCTGGGTGGTGTAAAGTTGATTTCCTAGTTCCACCACAATCCCTTGCCTTAATAGTTGCCCAGCCTCTTAAACAGTTGCGCAAATACCATTAATAAGTAACAAGATATTGCCAAACTGATGTGTACTTGTGTGCACAAAACAAAAATTAGCCTACCTTAGAATTTGAACCAGCAGCTTTATGACAATTGTTTTCCTTCATCTTTTCCGTATATACGCTGAAGTTCATGAGTAGCGGCTAGGAATGATTCTGAAAAGTTACGTGTAAAAAGAACAAATTCATTACAATTTTGAGAAAACAAAAGATGTAGGACTACCAAAACACATTGGGCTTTCAATTTTAATTAAACCAAATATTTTGGATTACCTTTCCAAAGACGGAAAGCTTTTTGGTTAATGGGAGATCCAGTTATGGTCTGGATAACCTCAAATAACAAATTCTGAGGGGTGTTCCTGAGCTCCTGAACAATCCCATAAATAGTCTTCCCATTCTCAAATTATATATGATTATTTGGGTGTTTTGTTTTGCAACCAGCATGATGCTCAAACTCATAAGCATTGATTGCCTATAACACCAATAATTGGTCTTCATGTCAGCAGAATAGGCTCAAAATTCCCTTCATATAACCAAGAATTTAATACCAAACTGACCTTAGAAAATTTACATGATTGACAGCCCCACAGATAACTAGAACCTTTTGTGACTTCTACCAAAAATAGGAACAACCACAGGTGTCACCAAATGATAAGGGGATTGCAAGAGGAATGCGTGAAAGTAAGATTTACCTCCTGTGACCAGGCAATATGCTTCACAGGAACACCATCTAGCATACCAGTTGACAGCAAACATCTGACATTTTAAGGGAAATTGTTTGGAGGAACCTTCTTGGCCCCCTTTTTGCTCATCCTCATTAGAAACAGGTTCAGCTCCAGAGGCTGTCATCTGGGCAGCACTTAAATGTGCATAGTTGTTTGATTTAATCAATCCTTCTTTAGTTAATGCTTCTGATTTTGAGCTGAAGCCTGACCCATCAACATATCGTAACTGCATATGAGCCGTCCCAAAGAATTTATATCACCATCATCATGAAAGCCACCAAAGGATATGATATTAGTCTCTCCCTAGCTGAAAGAATGGCTCATTGATAAATTACTGTTCTCAATTTTGCTTAAGGTGTGGCCCACTGTTATGGTAGTATTATCCACTTTGTTGTAGGGGTGACCCATCAATATGGTATTGTCAACCAATTGATGTGATCAAGTTATTACCCTTGCTGAAAGATTGACCCATTGATACAGTATTATTGTTCTCCCTAAAGGTAGGAGCCATCAATATTCTTATTGAAGGTTTGATCCATTGTTGTGATACTGCTGTCATATTTGCAGAAAGTTTGACCCAATGTTGTGATATTGTCATCACCCTTGCTGAAAGACAGACCCATTGATAAGTCATTTTCTTTCTCATTGAATGTATGGCCCATCAATATGGTGTTGTCATCATATGAAATTATTATCACCCGTGTTGTACGTGCCATCCATTGATAGGACATTGTCATCCCCCCTGTTAAAAGAAAGACTTGCTATCATATTGTCAGCAGCCTTGGTATAAGCTTGAGGAATTGACATAGTATTGTTATCCCTTCCACTAAAGGCATTCCCCATTGACATAGACATGAAATTCTCAGTGTCCTAGACTTGGCTGACTTTAACTTTTCCAATCCCACCATAATTAATACCTCCTGATCTAGAATCTTCCAGAGTATCAGATATAGATAAACCAAATGAAGAATCACTCCCAAATGAATCCTTTATTCCCTTTTTTCCATATTGATATTGCTTGTGCCAACTGATGGAATGTTTATGTCATCAAAGTTGATGGTCCTTGCAGTTTCAGGGTCAAATAACCGTTCACCATGTTGACCAACAACTGAATGAAAACCAGAAGCATTTCCCCAAGGACAGGCATTTAAATTTAGAAGTCCAGAGAATGAATTGTGGCTTGAAACTTCAACTGCTTCCTTCTTCTTGGGAAATAGCTCTACTTCAGTACCATCCATGAACCACTGATGAGGGTGCTTTGGCTCAATTCTGGAGGAATTTTCGTAGGATATCTTGCCATCAGTTAAACATCCGGGATCCTTTGACATCCAAAAACCTTTGTTCTGAAATGACTATCATAAATAATAACTATTAACATTAGAATAACTATGAAAACTCAGTACCTATAAAAATAATGTACTTACAAGCATGCCATCAAGATTACATAGAACTTTCTCTTTTGTTCCCAATCCCTTCAACTGTTTTGAATCTTAAAATTTAAAGATGAATGTCAAAGCAACTTTAATATAGGTAAATGCAGAATCATATTTTGAGGACCAAAAGATTGTGGAAGGAAATGGAAAGTAGAGAGAGAATGAGAAGGAAAAAGCAATTCAATAAATAAAAGAGATGATGGTGTGCTGGTGTTGATTTTATGTGAAGTAAGATGTGTGTGCATTTGATGGGTTCACATTTGAGTCATCCCTTCATATATTCTTCTCCATTTGACCCAATCTCCAATGTTCACTTAATTAGCCTAAGTAACCTTATTAGACTAGCATCCTTGCAATAATATCCTAAATAAACATTCTGGCCAATATTCATAAGCATATATGAGCAAAGCTAGGTGTTGCTCATGCTCGGCTCGTTTCCTCTACGACCCTGAAAACAAAGGTTGAGTTGAGCTTGTTTATTAATTTTGAAACTTGCAGCTAAACCAAGCCCACACTATTCATCAAGAGTTCCATTAATTGGCAATTCTAAAAACCAATTTTGTGCCACTTGATTAGCTCACATTGCGCGTCTAAAAGTAAAAGTTAAGTAGGTAGAATAATTTAACTATGCATTCACATAAATAAAGACTATTTAGATATGTAACTCTAGCAATATAATATAAATGTATATATCACAAATGCTAAAACTAATATTATAGTTGTACATATCAAAACGCTTACCAAGAAGAAATATGTGGAAATTGGGCATTTCATAATTGTGTTATGGTCTAAGATCAAGCTCTTCTTCTCGCTTATTTTTAGCCAATTATAAGAATTGAACTCCTATCCCATTGTTCTCTTTACTGCTTGTTCGGTACTGATAGAAAATTGGATGGGAGAAGTGTAGGAAGAACGGATAACACATTCCTAGGGAAGGAAATGTTGTTTGGTTGAGTGGAAAAGAATAGAATGATGTGATAGTAAGAGGGTAGGGAACGATAAGTTTTATAATTATTTATCACAATGCCCTCATTATATAATTTGACAAAAATAGATAAAGAGTAAAAAGGACACTTCAATTTATATCCAATAGTTATCCATCTCTTCTCTCCTCTCTTCGATCCAATTATGGAGGGATGAGAATAGTGCGAAGAGGAATGTCTCATCTGTCCATCCTTACCCTCCCTCCAATTTTCTTTTGTACCAAAAAATGGAGACTCGCTCCATCAATCCTTCCCTCCTTCCTTCCCTCCTACCAAATGTAATGTAAATGAAATGTCAGTGCGTGCTACTATGGCTTTGACAAGTCAACCGTGGTCAATAATCAGCATAAAGAAAGTGAGGATCAATCGAATGAAAAAGAAAAACAAAGTTGAGTACAAGGGCAATCTTGCGTTTCCAATTAACAGCTAACTAGGGCAACTCAGTTTTCTTGCAAGAAGCAGAGGTGTGGCCCCAACTTAAGGAAATAAGACGAAGCCACGGAAGAAAGCACACATACTCCCCGCCAATATGACATAGCAAGTAGCATCCAAGTCTTGGCTGCAATGGTGTCACACCAATAATCTAAGGTTTTTCTGACAGTACACGCATAGATACTTTCATATGATTCAGAGCCTTTATTAGCACCGTAATATGTATTAGCAATGAGTCATATCCCATAGGTCTTAGGGAAAAAAATATTCCATAGGTCTGGTCAAGTGACAATAGAAAGGAGGAAAAATATATATACAAAAGAACATACTAATAAGATGACAAATATAAAAATCCACATCAGTCTGTTTCATAAATTTTGTTCCAATAAAGGAGTTGGCAACCCAAAAAAAAAAGGTTCCAACGTCACACTTTGTTAATTGGGCTATGCACCCCATGCCCACAGGTGATTCGAAATTCAGCAGTACTATAGAATCTTCACGTGCAAAATTTATGACAAGAAACACCAACATGAAGAATATAAATAATGTATGATACATTATACTTAAAATACATGCAGTTACTTAAAAAACAAATTCTCATCTTATATGCAAAACTAAATTTTCAACGAAGGGGTTCGAAACGTACCATGTCTCTGGTTCTATTTATTTACTCAGCAATCTGATTCCTTCCACTTCCGTCCCCATAAAAGTATAAATAATGGAATTCACTCGGACCCTCAAAATGGATTTGTGGACATCAAGAATGCACTATGATAGTTTAGTAAAAATTTTATAACAATTTAGTTAAACAGTCCGTCATAGTAAGCCAAACATGCGGAGCTTCTTTTTTTCACAAAATCTGTAAGGCAGGAGAAGGGGCAAAAAAATAAAAATAAAAATAATAAATAAATAAAAACCCTAGGGAACAAATATGTAATTCTTATTCTTTATTTGAATTAGTAAAGATTTTGACTATCCAAATATCTCATTTCTGCAATATTTATTTGGTTGCTGGCAAGCATGTAGAAAGCAAAATAAGTCGCAGTTTAAAATTTTACTAGACACAACCAATTCAACTCCAAGAAGCTTAGTTGAAACTAAGTGTTTCATTATTTAAAGACTAAATTTTCCCAGTAACCAAACGGAATCTTAAAACACAAATTAGTTCGATAAACACTAAGAATTAGTGAGAGTTAATAATAATGGTCTTAAAAATAATAATGGTGATCAAATCCTAACCGTGACGAAACGAATAAATATCTTCATGACATGTATATATAGAATCCTGAGAAGCAGACTTACACTTCAACGACCGTTCGATGTTCGATTGGATGGATATATGTCAACTTTCCGGCGAGAATGTACGGCCATTGTGATGACTGATGAGGACAACGGCGAGATCTGACGGACGGTTCTCATAAGATGGTGCCATCAGTTAGCGAAGCATAATCTTTACCGTGCACGTTGTCTGTTTATTTCTAAAACATAGTTAAACATCATCCATATGAGTGAAAACATTTAAAAATAGATGGGTAGATATTATTATTGAGCTCTCCCATTGTTTGGCGAATTTACATAAATATCTCCTTATATTTAAAAAGAAACCCTCCCATGCAGTGCTGCAGAATGAACGAGTTGTTTAGCTCAATCAAAAGTTCAATTTGAGTTTGTTCATATTTTTTTGTTTTTTTTTTTTTAAAATATAGAAAGTTGAGGGTTCAAATATTCGGTAGATAAAAGTAGGTATGTGCTATTTATTGTCAATGAAAAAAAACACACAGTTTCGGTTTATTCATATTAAATTTATTTAATGAGCCAAGTTTGAAATAGATTGGTTAAAATTTTTGAACTTACCTCACTTACTAGGGATTCTTTGATTTAGAATCAATTATTGCTTTTCTTTATCAATCTTAATTTTCGGGCTTGTGTTAGAGAATGAGTTTGTAAACTTAACTTAAAATTTGTTTATTGAGCTTAACTCGGCTCAACTAAGTAATATTCGAGCCGAACTCAAACAATAATGTTTGAGCTTAAAGATGTCAAAAGTTGGTTCACCTTGACTCGGTTTGATTTGAAGTGCGATAATTGTTTATATTTGTCTAATATTACTAATTTTTTTAATATTCCGTTTGGTAAGAAGGAATAAAATTGCATGAAAGTAGAGAATAAGAGAATAAAATTGCATGGTAGAAATAGTGTCGTTCTATCTTTTTGTTTGGTTGGATGGAAGAGAAGATAATGAGATAATACATTATTTTGTTTGTTAAGAGAAAAGATTATAGAAAGGAATAGAGAGTATTAATTATAAGGAAAGTTTTGTTAAAAAATCTTTGCTTTTTTCCTCTGGATAAAAACTTGTGAAGGAATAATTATGACTCTTTTCTCCTTACCTCTTCTCCGCCAAACGAAAACAAATTATTTATTCCTTCCTATGTTCCCTTCCCTTCCCTTCTTTCCTTTCAACCAAATAAAACATTAGATAATACAATATCTATTTTAAAAATATGTCTTGTATAATAAGGAAATATTGAATCTGAACATGTTATCGAATGACATGATCATCATTTTTTTCATCTTTACTAATGCTGAAGTGCATTCTTACTAAATTTCCTCTTTTTTTATTTAATTATTTATTTATTTTTAATAGAAGTTCAGTCATATTGGAAGATATCAAGCTTGCTCCTCAAGCCCATTCTTATTTCAGAGTGATTCGGAGCTGTCCCTCAACAGGCCAGCCCATCTCCTAAGCAAATTGGCCCAATCCACTTCTACCTCAGACCATGAATGGAATGTGTGGCCCTCTTGGCTTCTTAAAGCTGTCAAAGCACCTCTTCACCTCTTCAATTATTTATTTTTTTTGTCAATTTTTGTTTTTTTTTTTTTTCCTTTTTTTTGCCTACACGATGATGGAATTAATATAAATCATACATCCGACTAAAAAAAAAAAGCAAAAATGCCTTCATCAACTTTTTATCTTGCTCAGCATTAATTTTTTTTAAATGCATTATAATTGAATTATTGGAATGAGAAGCACCGGGCAAAATTAGTAGTGATGTGCTATTTTTCGAGAATCAAAATCTCCTCCAAGGGCAGAAATCGCAGTTTCAATATTACTAATAAATGTGAAAAGTTATAAACTTCACCCACTAGACAAAACCGCAGATTAAATTTGGAAGCTAACGTACCTTCAAGACCAACCCAAATAATTTGATTGAATTTGTAAACAAATTCAGTGCAAAAAATTCCCATTTAAGAAAACAAATTGTATTAACAATTAACAAAATTGGCAAGAGGCTACAGTGGACATCAAACAAAAATGACCAATATCAACCTCCCAATAAACTACCTCCTATATATACCCCCAAAATCCTATAACAAAACTCTCTTTCTGTAAAGTCATTCACCTTTTGTTATACACTTTGCTTTTAATCTATCACATACCCAAGAAAATGTGAACACCCTCTTCTGCAAAAAGCTGTGAAGTTCATTCTTCACTCAAAAGTCAAAAGCTCAGACCCCAAAGTATAAACACGCATGACCCAAAAATCCCACATATCTGCAGCCACTTCTCTATATCCATCCTCATTCTCTCTATATGTATATATATATAATCACTATATATATCCCCAGCTTAACCACCACCCCATTCATCATAATCATCGAATTCAACTGTCACCTGATCAACCCACGTGTCATGCATCAAGCGTGCTGTTTGGGTGCACGCGCATGTGATGCCATTTCAGGTAAAACATTGAAAACTCATGGGTTGGGATGGGTTGGGTTGGGCCAATCATGAACATTACAGCCCACATTGCACTTGGGTGTCAGGGAGGATGCTTCTCGTTGCTCGTGTCCACTTGTCAGCCCATTATATGTCAGTATTTTACAGCTGCGATACTCCTATTGGTCAGTTGCTTTTGGGTTGTGACTGAGAACCTTGGTGTGCTTTCTATGCAGCTTTGTGCCCTAGTTAGGAACAAGAATTCTTCTGCTTCGACTTTGGCCACGCATGGAGATGAAAGTGGTGGTGGTGGTGCTCTGATTGTGGTTTGTTTAGCGGCGACAGAGCTAATGGGCATGGGCTTGGGCTTTTTGTTGCTGGCCACATTGACTTGGACTGAGAATAGTGAATAGACTGGTCTGTGGTCTGAGAATTTGGACTCCCCCCTCACATACCACATTTGCTTTAGTCCCTCACCTTTCCATAATATTCTGTCACACCTGTGTTTTTCCAAACAAACCATCAATACAATGCATTAGAAGAAACTGTAGTCCCTGAGAAGAAACAGATTAACAAACCAAAAATATAAGATTTGCTATTTTCTGAACAAACAATGTAGAGTTTGTTTTTTTATATGAAACCGAAGGCATTTTCAATGTAGAGCCCCAATCTTAGTGGCAGAAAGGTTACTCATTTTCTAGTACATTTGACCTATCAACATAAAGTTTTGCACAATTAGTTTCCTTATGAAAACTATAATGAGTAAGATTATAAATAAATAATAATAATCAAGTGATTGCAAGTTTTGTAATATTATATTAATTGCAGGGTCGGTTGTACCTTTTGTCCATGGTAGTTATTTTATACAAGGAATAATTCTATAACCCCACAAACCGGCTCTGTCATTTTATCAGTTTAAAATAGTCGTTTAAGAATACCGCAATCAATGGAAAACCAGGTGAGGAAGATGATTAAAAATACAAAAACCAGGTAAACTCTTTCTCCATCCCTCCTGCGCTGCTTTCGTTGAAATTTTTAAAGAAGTGGAACCTTTCAAAAGTTGATTAAAAAAAAAAAAAAAGCATACTAACATGTGACATTGGTCCATCTACCAATTATTTTGTCCTAGGAGTACATGGTCTGTGCCTTACAGTATTTAAAATTTTCCTACATTATTGTCTCCAATTACAGTTTTCAGGTTTCCCACCTGAATTTTTACATAATGGTAATAGTTTCAGTGGACCAATTTTGTCTCGGAAAATGTGAATTGAACATACTAAAAAATATTGGAAACCTCTTTCAACTATATTAGTCAAACTCATTATTCCAGGGTGAACTGTGAAGATCTCAATCTCTTAAATCGGTGCACATAGCGACTCTTGATTATGAGAATGGCGACTTGATTACTATATTTCTTAATTTTTTATTTTTGAAAAGAAGACAATGACTTTTTCAACCATAGGTTTCGCATTAGTTGGGGTATACCTATTTGGTGGTTGTGTGTGCGCGTATATAGGTTATTAGGTGCATGCATGAACAAATGGATATAAGAACCTGCAATAGAGCACATTACGACTTACGCAAGATTCGAACAATTTTTTTTATTACTAGGATATGATAGCATCCTATTCCTTTCTTGAACAAAGAAATTTCAATCAAAGAAGAAAACAAATATAAAAAATAAATAAAGAAAGAAATGGAATGTTACCAGGCAGGAGTTCGTCGCTTCTCTTTAGATGTGGAGGTTTGGGCAACATAATGGTCAGAATTGGCAAGGTATTTGTACGTTGGTGCAAAATATATTCTTCCTTCTTCCCACCCCGTGAATACGCGGCCAGCTCTTTGCTCTATCTTCAACTGCCAAATGCAATTTACATATACAAAGTTCACAATTTGAGTATGTTTTTACATGTTAAATGCCAAATGCAATGTGAATTGGTGATCGGAACATTAATCTGATAATTGTATGTGGAAGAGTAGCTTTTTTTCCTTCTAAAAGTGACTTAAACTAATTCACATTAGTCTCACCTGATCTTTCTCCAAAAGTGCTTGCCAATCGTTTTTCTTTAGTAGCTCATGTGTTCTATCCCCACAACCAGCAGATGCAAGTCGATAATTCAGATCTCCAAGCCATATAACCTTGCTATTTAAGATGAATAGTAAAAAGCACAAGACCAAGTTAGAATCGATGCGACCATAATAATGAATAGAGTAAATAATTATAAGGGCTCCTCGCAAGAACTTCAAGGTTGAACGTTCTCCGGTACCACATTTACATGTAAATTTTTTATGTTTGAAGAATGAACTTGCAAAATCAAGATAATTTTTTTTCTTTCACTTTTCCTTCTTTAAAAGTAGAAAAATAAATTAGGCTGGCGCAAATAATTTAATTATGCGCTTTACAAATTAAAGCACTCACTCGTGTTCCAAAATGTTATCAGGAGGAGCTGGTTGTCCCGGTACTCTACATGAATGAGAAAACCTAGTTTTCTTCAATATTTCCACGACATCCAAATTTCTTCTGACCTCATCACCTTCTTTCTCTCCAGAGGCTAAATGGGTACAAACGAAGCACATTGTTGTCTGGTGCAATGTCATGCTAATAGATATCGACCCCTAAAATTCCCAAAAAAAATTTAATTAATGACAATGATCAATTGGTCTCTTAAATTAAACTAAACAATTCAATTAAAACACATATTGTATATGTGTATATATGTTGCTATACCTTATTACCAAGATATCCCATAATGCCCCTTCCAACACATGAGACCTTCAAATTGCTAATGTGCCTATATAGATCAGTGCGTACCCACACGCATAAAAATAGTCCTACCATCTGCTTACTAGCTGCCATGCAGTACAATTGCTGCTGCATTGGACTAGCTCCATGGCTGACCGACGTTCGAGGAGGACTCGGTGAGCCTTCTTCACAAGGGTTCGAGTTCAAAGTCAAATATCTGTCAAAATCTTCTTTCTGGTTAAGATCATTTTCTAATGAGAGCAAATCAGAGAAGCTGACTCTGGGTTTTAGACTTGGTTGATGCTGATCACACTGGTCAGTGGCATTATTGTGGTAATCTGGAACACCTTGGTCATTTTGGTTGCTGTTCAAAGCTCGGCGAATGAGAGAGAGCCACTTGGCAGCTGGACCGTTGTCCTCAGCTCCTAGTACATTGCCTGCATTTAAGGGTACGATTTCCTGAAACCTGATTCACAGCAGAAGGTGAAAAGGGTAAGTTTCAAAAACTCAAATTACCCCTAACAGAGTCAAACATTTTAAATTTACCTAAATATCCCTACTTTTTGAAATCACAATAGTACCGACCTTCCATTTTTGAGTGGTTCAATATTACGTGCTAGAACTTGGGGCGTTCTTTTACCATTTCAGTTGGTTAAAAATTCAAAAGCGCACAGAAAGTTTGGGACTTTGGGGGCAAAAAAGTAAATTAAGAAGGGTGGGACTTAAATAGAGTTTTGAGTGCACGTTAGTGATGTGCTGGTGGGCATGTCAAGGTCTAGTCAACTAAGTTTTGCCCAGGACGCTACCATGCGCCAATTATGGTGGTGCGTGACACTAGCAATTTACTGTAATACTGGAATATATAAATATATATACACACAGTAAGAAACTGGACAGATACAACACAGAATTTATGAGAAGTCACAGAGGGTAGATTGTTTAAACTAGGAAAGATTAATTGTGTCCACCTTGCAGTTTTACACATTTAGCCCGCCTTAGAATACTAGAGATAGACAAGGCAAAAAGAACATGTATGTAAAAAAAAAAAAAAAAAAAGCACCTACACACACACACAAAACACACACACGTGTGTGTGTGTGTATACACAGACACAGAGAGAGATATCATACCCAAGAACATAGATGTCAGCTGGGGCAGGTGTCCTTAGCCAATCCCTCAAGTTCAATTCTTCATGGGGTGACTTCCCTCCCACATTCCATGTCCCCACGAACATCCTATAAAGTCCCCAATCATAACCAAACATTTACCATCATAACCAACCCCAAACATAACAAAACAAAAATTCACAATCATTGATGCCCAAAGCTTGCTTAAGATGGTTTATATTTCAATAATAAGACATAGTGAAGTTAGAGCAAGAATTAGTTGGAATATGACTTAAATCGGTAGTGGGATCCAACTTATTTTGAATTCATGTCAATAAAAAGTGATGAGAAGGGATTGCATTAACTAAAATTTTAAAATTAAGATATGTGAATGGTAACGTGGTCACACTCCAACACGTAGAGACCGGCGTAGCAGTGATCTTTATTTTTTTCATTGACAAAATAAATAAATAAGTGAAAAAATTATCCTTCCATCCAAACAACTTATTAATTTACTTGCCCCTAAAAAAAATTTAATTTATAGCTAATTTATCATGGATAACATTAGGAATTTTATTTTTTTAACAGGTCTATTAACGTGACTCTCAGTAGACCAATCAGTTGGAAGATGTTATATAAATAAATTAATAAATAAATAAAAATATAATCCTCCTATCCAAACAACTCATTAATTTTCTAGCCCCCAAAAAAATATATTTAATCTTAAAAAAAACTGTGGTGAGAAATTGCTCTTGCCTTACCTGAGGTTGAGTGTATCGGTGACAGCTGGCACATCCGCTTCGAATCTTGACCGTTCAATACCATCACTAGCTTGCATCAACCACCCTTCTGTTTGTTAGTTAGATCAAAACTCAGTTAAGAGACGAAGTCGATCCTGATAGTAATCACGAATAGGGGTAACTAGAGATGTTAAAGTACAGATTAGGACCACCGTACACGTGGAACACATGGTGGTCCTAATTGGAAACTAACTAGAGAGAGGGCCACCCCCTAAAGTAGCCTCCACTCACCAAGCTCATTCAATATGAGTCCTTAGACGTCCCATCACTAACCATCTAATCAAACCGTCAATCGACGGCTCAGTTGTACCAAGTGGACGGAAGAAATAGCTGAATGAGTACCAAACATGAAACTGTGCCGATCCACATAAACATACCCGAGAATTCCTCCTCCGGTACGACAACGTAGCGGTCCTCGTCCGAGCAACTCTTCCTTCTCTCACTTCTTCTATTCACTATAGCTTATACGCCCAAAAACAAAAACCAAAACAAAAACAAAATCTCAGAATCCGAAACAAAAAAACAAATGAAACAATTCGAAAAATTGAAAAGCTGAAACAAAACTTACCTCTCATCATGTAATCGGAATGAAATTCATCTGCACCGCTCTTTATATTTAACCATTTTCTCACAACCAATTTAGGCCACGAAGACTGTATCAAATGTTTCACTGTCATCTCTCTATAGTTTATAGCTATATATATATATATATATATATATATATATATATATATCTGAGTGTGTATGTACGTGCATATGAATTTGTAGCATACCTTGGAAATCTTCATGCGTTCTGTTCTCATTGCTGCAAACACCAATTAACAAATACCTCTGATTATTTGGAGCTGAAAGAGTGAACACGAATAAAATAAAAATTTTGAGTCTGAAAATAAAAATAAAAAAGGTGATAAATCAAATATATGTTGTCATGGTAATAAATTAGTATAAAATTGGGTGTACAAAAGGGAATTAAAAAGACCCAATTGCTGGAAAAATGGAGACAGCTTCTGAGGAAGGATAGTACACGGAAAGAAACATAATGCAAGAAAAGTAAATGTTGTTATAATATGTATATGTTCATGTCTATATTATATATATATATATATATAGAGATAGAGAGAGAGAGAGGAGAGGAGAGAGAAGACAGGTAGTTCCTTTTTCTTGAAGAATAGAGCTTTAGAAGAAAGTTTAGATTTGGGTCTTTACAGGGAGGAGGACAGAGTGTATGGATGAACAATTAAATGAAAAAGAATGTAACGATTTGGGCTTTTTAAGATCTTTAAGAGTTGGATCAAATCTCTATTAATTATGCCATTTGTAAAAAGTAACATTTCTGGGTTCATAAAAAGCTCAGAAACGTAAAAAAAAAAAACAAAAACAAAACGTATAATAATCAAGAGAGTACTTGCAGAAGATCTAGAACGGTTAAAATAAACAGAAAATGAGATCTTGAAGCTCAGTTTCAATCCAAAATAGAAAACCCAACAATGAAAGTGAAGATTGTGATATAAAATGACAAGATCTTGATGATTTCTTGTGACCCATCTCTGTATTCTGTACTGTGAATCAACAAATTCTAAGAAAACAGAGGAATATATACAGAAATAGAGGAGGCCAAACAAATGATGAATGAAACAGAAGATTTGAAACAGTGATGTGTATTTCTGGGAAGTGGTCAACGACATTGCTGATTTTAGATGAAATCGAGACACAGAAAAAACCAAAACAAGCTAAATTAACATGACTATACACTTACATGAGTCGAAAAAAGTTTTTGAGGTGTGAGGTATGAAAGACTGTTCTTGAGGATGAAAAGAGCTCCCTTTTATCGATCTTTCCTTTTCGATTCTGTTGTAGAGAGAGAAAGTGAGAGAGTCTTAGAGAGAGAAAGAGAGAACAGAGCCACTGTGATGTAAATTTGGCTTCTTGTGTTGGTTGGTGGTGAAGAGGAGGCAGAGGAAGTTTGGGGGCGTTCCTCGGAAAAGCAAAAAGGGTCAGCTTCGTCTCTATATATAACATTCATACTCAGAAAGAGAGAGAGAGGGGTAGATATAGAGAGAGAGAGAGAAGGGGTTAGATATAGAGAGAGAGAGAGAGAGAGAGAGAGAGAGAGTAAGGGCACGTTCAACTCGGAATACTAGCTTGTTTGGGGGTATTATGGTCATTTTGGCAACCGGAGAATACAGTCAAAATGTAACTGAAACACTTCTTTTTCGTACTTGTATCGACTTCATAGGTCCACCGTTTGCCACACTGCAATTGGGCATTGCAGAGAAATTTTCATTTCATTTAATTCGAGCTTTTATACTAACCAGCTTTGTTAAATGAGCTTGTACTTTGTAAATTCATTTCATTAAAATTTTCAGCAAAGGTATCAAACACTATTTGAATGGCCGCTATTTTTGTGCAAAATTTATTTTCATACCCTTTTGGCCAATTTTCATTTCTTTCTTTCTTTCTTTCTTTTTTAAACTTTGCTTTGTAATTATTTTTTTATATTATATGATTTGAACATTGAATTTGTATATTTCATAATTTTTTATTTATTTTTCTTAAATCTAAGTAATAGTTAGAGTGTTATGAATTATTGTGAATTAGAGGGAAGGGAATTCCAACTTATGATAACACTATCACACCTTTGTATATTTCATATTGACATTTAAAATTGTCAACAAATTAAATTATTAGTTTGTTTTATTGAATTTAAATTTAGCAGACTTTAACTTATTTAGAGGTGGCTATTTCTAAATCTTATTTTGGATTTTAATTAAAAGGCCTAGTTATCCATTATTGTGTTGAAAAGTTAAGCCTAGTAAAAGTATTGTCTTTGGATTGGAAGAGTGAAAATCAAAGGAAATAAAAGGAAAAAAAAAATAAGGAAGAGTTTCAGTTTATATATTTGGTTTAAAAATAAGAGGAAAAATAAAAAAGATTTGTTCAATTAGGTGCGTCTATCAACTAGACAATTGGGCAATGCCCCTACAAAAAAACTTAATTATTATTATGTTTTACTACTAATTTGTAATAATAATTTAAAAAAAAAATTAATAATAAATAAAATTTTGCATTATGCACTTTGCTCACTTAATAAAATGCTCATATCCTTCTTTACCAAATCCGATAATAGAGTTATCAATATCATTTTTTTTCTTCCTCATCCAAATCTTCTCATTTTCTTACTCAACCCATACTATTCTCTCTTTTATTTTTTTTTTCTCTTTTTTCTTTTTTTTTGGTTATCGTTCTGTATATCCAATGACATAGTTAGCATGGTATAAGTTGAGGGATATTTTTAAAGCACTTTATTTAAGGGGTGGGGGTTAGGGGATTGAAGAAAGAGCCATACACATAATATGATTTATTGAAATTACAATATTACAATGCCATGTGCTTTTTAATTAATTAATTTACCACTAAGTTTACGAGTTTTGTGTTCAATGAACCTGAAATTAATTGTTTTTTCACATCCAACAAACACTATTAGGAGTAGCAGTGATCAATCCAAAAAAGTAAGTCAGTCTTGCTAAATGGAAGACACTTGTCACTGTGATATACCATTGTTAATTTAAAAAATTCTTTTAATCTAAAAGTGGTTTGAATTGAGTATGAAAGTGAAGCAAGTGATTACGAAACTTGCTATTATTCTATTATCTAAAATGTATTTAATTAGTACGTAAATTGAACGTGGCAACGTAAGTATGAGCTTATATACTAACCAAATTTTCATAATCTATTTAAAATAGAACCCATTATTATTGACTAAGATCTCAAGGGTGCCAAATATTACTACTGAACATGTGTATCTGTTTCCACATCCAAAGCAGAAAAACCCACTGCCTTTCTTTTTCTAGCTTGTGATCAGGTCCAATTTGTCAAAGAAAAAGACTTTGAATTATATATAATTAACCTATATATGTATATACTAGTATATGTGTGTATGTAGTGACGGACACATAAAATTTTGTGAGGGGGAGCGGCCTTTTAATTTGTAAGAGCAAATTTATATAGTGGGTCCATTTTTGTATTTTCAATAGAGCTTTCTTCATAAATTTTTTAAAATTTAAAGTGTAAAATACAAATATATACATTTTGAAGTATAAAATGTAAAAAAATAAAATAATAATAAAAAAAGAATCCAATAGGGGGCGAATCGTAATTTTAGTGGGGGCATTTTCTTAAATTATAAAAAAAAAATTGAGATGTAAAATGAAAATATTAAAAATTCAGTTGAGGCATTCACCTCCACTGATCTTATGTTAGATCCGTGTCTGTATGTATGAGAAATGTCAAGTCCTATTTCATCAATGTTATATTTGTCTATCATTATTGTCACTGTACAAACAAACATAGTCCCCCACAATACTACCATTTGTACCAAATTCACTCTCTTCCATTTCAAATATTATTGGGTAAATTCTATTTACCTCAAGATTTTATACTCTTCTATATTTCATCAATGATTTTTTTTTTTTTTTTTTTTTTTTTTTTTTTTTTTTTTTTTTTTTTTTATGAAGCGTTTGCAATCATATCACATTAGGAGGGCAAAATTGACATGTAAAAAAAATTTTGTTATATAAACCAAAACTTCATAAAAGTAATTTGGATTATATGAACCATTAAATGGTTTGTGTATAATATTAACAAACTTGAAACGAGGTACGTGAATTATAAAATGGTTTATGTATAAACTTGAAACCAGGTACGTGAAATTTATGCAAGTCTATTTTTGGTTCAATAGGAAGGATATCATAATTGAAAATAGATTTTTTGTTAAGGACAAAATTTTTAAAAAGGAAAGATGCTCCCCACATATTTCTTCTAATTTTTTGAAGGAAGAATTTATTTATTTTATTTATTAATTTTTTTTAACAAACGGAAAGGATATTCTAGTTCTAATGTCATAATGAAAAAGAGACATTTTGTTAAGGACAAAAATGTAAATAAAAAAATAAAAAAGGAGGAGGAAAGATTTCTACTAATTTTTGAAAGAAAAGCATATTCTAGTTCTAATCATTTGAATCTATGTAAGAATTACTAATTTACTAAAAACTGAGTCAAGTCAATCTAAGAAAAAACATATTTTCAAAATTATAGATTGCATTTGGGTATTTGTGACAAAAATCAATCCCAACTCTAATTTGAATGACATAGTAATATTAAAAATTGAAAACGAAATAATTACAATCACTCTTTTGTCCTCAAAGTCAAATTCATAAGAATTACAATCACACTTTTCTTCTGTCACTTCATAATTTTTTCTTTGATAATCTTAACAAAATTCAACATTTGTGATTTTTAAAGTGTTCAATGTAATACTACCTAACAAGATAATTTAGATCGAATTACATATAATTTAGATTCATCTCATGCAATATTAATTAAGTTTGAATTGTATTTGAGACTAAAGTAATGAAATCGAGCTTCGTCACATACATTAATATCACATCATATAGAATAATATCTAAAACAATATGATAATAGAATTTATATCGTATCAAATTACGACAGAACTTGCATGTTGATCCACGCATTATCAAATGTCAAACCATTTTTCTGTTTCCATTAAAACAGAAGAAAATTTGTGGAAGCATAAAGCGATGGCCAGTCGGATTGCAAGGACGGTTTCTCTTGAAGCGGCAAGCAATTAAGAAGCAAGGACTCTGAGTCTTTTTGTTGGACGCGGTGTTGATTTGACGGTTAAGATGCTGGCTGAATTTAGATCTTCATAGAATTATGGGACTATAGCCATCAGCCGTCTGATTACGTGGACCTTTAAAATTGGATAGAGGCTCATTGAGACTGAAGAGAGAGAAAGGTGTTTTCAATCCTACTGTAACCTGTGGCTATATTTGACAACACTTGCTAACATGATACGAAATTAACATGAGATAAAAGAGAATTTAAGTTTGGGTTAATTATGTTTGTATTGAAATAAGTATTCTGAAAATACAAAGAATTTCTCCCAATTCCAGAGAGAGAATTTCTTCACTTCCAATGCTTTCTAACCTCTTTTCCCTCTCGATTTTCCTCATTTATAGACGGTTACAACCTCCTCTGGCCTGAGCCTTATCTGCTCCCTTTTGTCTGGACTTAACTTTTCTCCTTTTAATATGGGTTTTTGTAATGACTTTATGGACCTAGGCCTATCTTGCGCGAACTTGCTCCATCCTGTTTGTCCATACCCGACCCGTCCTTTGCAATACGGATCATACCAAGCCCGGGTCATTTTGGTGTCCTCATCTGCCCCCAATAATCTCTCTCCTCATTAATGAGGGTGAGATTATTGAAAAGACACGATCTTGGTCTGACGGCTCGGAGCAATGACACGAGGAATCGAACGGCTGGCACGAAAACCCAAGCTTCGAGATCTGCAGCGCCACTTTTTGCCTTGACCTTTTGAGTTCCATATCGCTTTTACTTCTCCTCTTTAAAAATTCCGGTCTTTCAACTTTCACCCTTCTTCTTATATCTCGCTTCTACTTTCTGCTGCCTTCCTGCACATTCCGGCGATCCTTTTCAATTTCTCCGACGAGTCTTTCCTTTTCGATTTTTAGCTACTGTACCGTTGCTGCGTTCATCACAAACTTTCAAGGTCAGTTTTTTTTTTTTAAATCTCTCCTTAAAAAGACACCTTTACTGCCTAGGACTCTTCCCCTTCTCAATGGCTCCCCCTAACCTGAACGGCATTCGATCCAAGAATTACATTCCTCGCAACGTTTCTCTCAAAGTCTATCCAATAAACTTAGACGGGAGATCTGGTGAGGGTCTCCTTCCTAGGGAAGTTTTATTCTCCGCCGTTCACTTGAACGTCATTAGGTTCCCCCTACACCCATTCTTTTGTTATGCTTTCAACAAATTGGGGCTTTGCCCCCCTACAAGTTAACCAAAACTTTCTTAGGGTAATTTCAGTCCTCCTGCTCTTGAATCGTGATAGGGCTCTCAATCTTGACATTATTGACCTTCTCCTCTGCTATCGGATTAATAAGATTTCACAAAATGATTTGTACTATCACTTTTTCCCTATTGACAAACGGTCGATCTGCACTGATAAGAACTCATTTGAAAA